AAGCTGGATTAGATGGATCCTCATACTATGCCTATTATGTCCCCAAAACGGATTGAGCTATTATCATCGACGTGGTCCCTGCACGTACTATCGTCATCATATCAAATTTGAACGGTTTGAGGCGTAGTCCGTGCTTTTTTTATTTTTTACTTCCGTCGCCTTCTATCTGCTGGGTACGACGCCTCGTAAGTACATTTGAACACGCTATTGTCCTTGGTAGATCCCACCCAAAAAAAGGACCAAAAACCCCATAATTCTCCATAACCTATTCATCCTGCTAGTGGTTGCCCGGCAGGCCCAACCAGAGAATACTAATCGGTAACTTGACCTCGGCATCTGAGAAACGAAAAATTCATCAGGGTCGAGACCTTGCCGTGGAATTCGGTGTGCTATCGGCCGGAATCCCGACCAAGAATCGGCCTACGCGGCAACGCGGGAGTCGGCACGTCGAACCTCCCAAATCCCTGCGACTGCGACATGTTGCAGGGGTTTCTTGGTACAGCATTGTGGGGTTTATTTTTTTTTTTTTGGGTGCTGTGTCGCATGTTTGAATTTTCTCCGACGGATCAGGGACCGGGTAAATTCAACTACACGGAGAAGATTGTGTCATTACTCGTAGTAAGAGGGATTTTTTGATTATTCCCGCCCTGCGGCTTAGACCTGCCTGCAAAGTCACTATGTAAATCCTGTCCTACCATATGAATACGGTGTCTGTACTTGTATACCTACTACCACAGTGTATACCCTCTAAAATGCACCGAAGGGGCATCTTCGGTGATGATTTCTCTTGGCTGCATGCAAACCCCTGCGCCGATCGACACCGGCTAGATAGGCCGTATACGCTCAGGCGTTCCAAATGACCACGAAACAGCTTACCACGAAGTCAATCGTCTTTGAAGCGATTCACCGGGCCTTCAATAAACAGCGTTCGGGGTTTTCCCCTTTTCAGACCTCCCCCACTAAATCCGAAACCGAACCACACCAAGCTAAGGCCACGGGTACCTACGTATCTACGGTAGTTGTGTTGATTTGCTTACTCCGTACAGTAGAATCATTACCCAATAGCTCCTCGCTTGGCGTAAATAGAAGAAAGGTTACACCCGATCAACTGACTAGGCGAAAACATGATTATCCTTGCACGATGATGAAATATGTGACTGGAGCATGGCGATGACATCAACATGCCGAAGGATTTATTTCCAGCTGAGTCCCGCAAGCAAAAGGGGAATAAAAAATGCAAATAAAATTAAACACGCTGAACTCAATCCTCCATGCTAGACGCGAAGGGGGGAAACGGAAATCAAGATTGAAAGGCCACATGCTGGATGCCGGCCATTTTTGGCCCTTGATCGACAGGAGAAACCTCCCGAATGGGGAGGTTCGTTGCCATTATTCCCATAACAAACTCCACACCCCACACTGGTCGCGTCGGGGTTCCAAGGCCAGCTTGCTTATTTGTCTTCGGAACCCTTTTGTGTTTGGTTTCTGTTTTCTGTGGCCCGTATTCGTTCCAGTGCAGGGGTTTGATCCATAGCGCATATCACTATTAAAGATGGGATGATTGGCGCGTGTCGAATCCGGTTTCTGGGGTTTGTTTTGGGGGCGTGAGCGCTCCCTTTGTTTGGCTGTTTATAGAATGGGATTCGACTCTTATTGGATCTTGACACGGGTACCTGACTTGGTACCTGACTCCGTACGACTATAGGGTATTTTTGATGATTTGGATCTATTCCTTCGTATTTTTGGGAGTTGCTACGCAGAGGATTGCGTTGTCTTTGTCCCCCACTGTGCTAACTAGAGCTCCTGCGGCTCCTGTGACCTGTCTTACTTTGTCATCGGAGCCAGCTATGACACAGCTGGAGCCGCGATGATCGGCGCGGGTCTTTGACGCGAGTTTGTTTTTGGTAGGTTGGCCGACCTCGACATCATACATGCCGTGTCAATTGTGTCAGTTACTGTTGGTACAGTAAACACAGCATGTGTTAACTTGATACCCTTCGAACTTTCGGTCTTGTCATTTATTTCTTTGTTCGTAAACGCACGACAGCAGTTGGCGCATGTCCGAGGATTCGGGCGCAGACTGTCTGACACTGCAACAAAGCTTTGGGGGCTGATCATTTACGAATCGTAGATGATCCTTGTTCCCGGCCATGGCTATGATGTCAATGATGAACTTCGTGGGGTAGCCGTGTTGCTATTATAGGATTATTCAATTGCCTGCTAGGCTACGATGTGTTGCTGTGCAGTACAGTGGCTGTGTGCCTACATCAAGATTATGCTACTGCGTACTGCCGCTCATGCCGATCGACGGCTTGCCGAGACAAATCACCAGTGTACGGAGTAGATTCTCAAAGTTTATGCAGAAGAGATTCTGGACTAGTACACAAGCTGTGTGCATTATCTTGGCTGCGTGTGCGAAGTCACTGAATTATGCCAAGCAAGACAGGGATGCCTCATTCAGGTCTGGATGATCACCATGTCTCCCGCGGACAAAGTTTTCAACGTTCTATACATGGTATCGTGCATTATCGTGCCAAGTTTCATATGAAGCATCGCCGCCTAAAAGAACGGTTCCCGACGATCATCCAAAGGCCCGAAACACCATCTCTAGATGCCTATTGTATCAAAACCATTGAACTCAAGTTCCACCATGACGCTTGGCTAGGCGGAACGAGTCAGCAAAGCCCATTAATGGGATATGTAATTGTGTATGCCAAGAAAACACCCTCCTGATCGGCCTTACATTGAGTCTACGTATATCCAGACTAGGAATCAGGATGACGCGCTTACCCAGAATATACCCTATCCGAAACAGATACTCCAGCTGATAATAAACTTCAATGCTGTCACGGTCACAGGACAAGACCAAGACATTCACCGGGTGTCTGAAAATCCAATAGCCACCCCTCCATATCTCTAAACCACCAGAAAAGCAATTGTCAATACCCAGAAAGACGACCAGTCTTGGCGACAATGGTCGCCCCCTAGGTCGATCCTAGTCAGGATCGCCTTTGCAGGTCTTGGTATACCGATACGAAGAGAAATCATCCCGCCGTGCATCTGTATCATCATAGGCCCGTTCATCAGAATAATCCAGGATTTGCATGCATACATGTATTGTTGCCCGCTCTTCCTGCCCCTTGATCGACTCGACAATACAATACTGTATCTCCGCCGCCCCCTGAAGTCCGCCAAGACACGCCGTGCATCCCACTCCAATTATCGTCTTGGCGGGGTTGGCAAACTCTCTTATCTGCTTTTCGTGCCCCCATGCCCCCTGTCTTCGTTGGGTGGGGGGTCCAGTGTTTGTTTTGCTAAGGAACACAGACCATGGGGATCTTCGTGGGGCATGTGGAGGGCAAGCGGAGTGTGGTAGGAGACGATGCGAAAGAGATGAGCAAGGAGTATTGGGATGTTATCTGCCGGTTTAGTTGGTGATTTGGCTCTTGGCGGGTGGCTGTACGTTGTTAGTATACATATGACGTGGTTTCAAGGGCGTCAGCGTCTTTGGAGGACGGACGGCTCAGAGGGGAGGAGTTGAGGTCCGGCTGACGGCGTTGATGTTGTTCCTTTGGTGATGCACGTTGCCGAGAGAAGACAATTAGGTGTAGTGCTTATGTTTAGCTTTGAGGATCGAGTGTGTTGTCTTGACTGCGCTTGTGATCCAGCGGTTCTTGGCTGTGTAGGTAGCACTGCAGATATGAGAACTTTGGAGGCTAACTGCTGACGGAGGTTACACTGTACTATAATGACTTTGGTCGGAGTCGCAGATTAATTGGGGACCGGGATGAGAGATTCCAATGTGTACCTACATAGTAGATCGTACCTCATTTTAAACCTTAGGGAGTTTCATTTGTTGGGCCTCAAGTGTACCACCACCAGCCCTGAGATTCGAGAATGACAACCCGGGAAAGCGCGCGCCCATGGACACAGGCCAAGGTGGACTATATCACCATAAGTTTGCAATTTACATGTAATGATAGAAATCGGGAGCTGGTTTCCTTTACGTCAATGAGAATCGGAAGTCAATTACATTAATGGAGCTTCCAAAGTTGATGCTTAGGTGGATGCTTTATCATGACCGCATATAATATATATTGTCGGGGTTCAAGGCTTCCGGGACCGACCAAGGTTTAGACTGAAATTCATTATTGATATACGCGACCAGGCAGATCCCACAAAGACATTTGAATACACTACCTAGGTATGATTTGATCAAGATGATATGGTTGGTTAAGCTCAAAGTCCTCTTGGAATTGGAGGTCGTTCTTTGCTCCAGATGTCCCAACAGCATTGCCGCGACATGCACCCTCCTCTTTTTGATGGATTCTCAACAAGGTTGGATACACATTTTGATACATTTCACATGACTGCATCTTCTGATTGGTTTTTCTTTTCTTTTGAAAAGATGCATTATCCCATCAATTGATGCCCTATTAATGCCTGTGGTTGACGGCTCGGCCCTACCCAATGCAATCATCAACATTCATCGTGAACTTTTACTCTTGCATCGCGCCCCGAGGCTGGTATAAAGATAACTCCCCCAAGGAGTAACTAGCAAATGATCACCGGAGCAGATTTATGCATAAACTATACTCCCACCTGCCCAGACAAGGCCCCCTTTAATCGCCAATTCAACATCGTCATTCCCCACCCGACATTCTCACAATCAAGATTCAAACACCCCAGAATCTTAAAAGCCTAGAACCTTGGAACGGCAAATCCCGAATAAACATAGCTTAAGTTAATCTACATTCTCCAGATCATAAAACAAACAATGCTGCAAGGGAAGATACGATTCCAGGTGATCGGAATGAAAACAGTCAAGTTAGCCGAGTTCCCTAACAGTCTTACCCCTTTTTGGAATGTCAGGTCGTCATGAGAAACTAGCGGCATGCATTTCAGATTTCAGTTGGACCCTTCCTTCCCACGTGCAGATGGGCCTGCAAGGAACCAGGCACGATATCTCTGTACTTGCAGTTTCAAGACCGCTGACATCACTAGAAAATGATACTGATACCAACAGTGCACGGCACCAGAGTCCCTGGCATGGCCTTCTCAATGGCAAATTTGGATCGCCAGCCAGAGCAGTGACCCGGCATCAAGACAGCGGGATCAAGGCGCTTGAGATCTGCGACTGTTTTCTGTACTTGTGGCTCGTCACTAGTGGCGAGATGGAAACCGCCCACGACGGCATGGAGAAGGGTGTTCTTAGGGACAAGTTCAATTGCGTGCTTTGAGGCATTGACTACGCCGCCATGGCTGCATCCCGTGAAGATAACAAGGCCCTTCCCTGTGTTTGAATGAATATATCGACCGTCTCGACAGATACTGAGGGGTGGACCTACCTTTGAGATTAACCGCGAGGAAGCGCTCGTCGGCAATTTGCTCATCGGAGTACCAATCCTTCGTCTCAGGATCAAACTGAACTGCGCCTTTCAGACCCGTTTCGTAGGGCGTTACTCGTGGGATCTCGCCTGACACGAGGAACATGTCATCGAGTATCGTGTGTGCTTCACTGCTCTTCTCTATTACGGCGCCGGTGCCGGATATTTCTTCAAAGGTAGGATCTGCTTCCATGGAGATGATTGTTTGAGCAGCAGCCATACCTCTATAAACGGGCCGGTCAGGATGCAGGTCAACGACCAGATCGTCTGAAAGGCCCTGAGCCTTTTTGGCATCCTTGATCATACGAATGGCCTGCAGAAGACCACCTGCCCAGGATCAGTAACCTGAGTGAAAGCCCGTGAAGCAAGAAAGGATAAAACCCACCCGAGTGGTCCCTGTGCCAATGTGAAAGCTGTATAACCTCAACCGAAGCAAGATCCGGACGTAATCGTTTCACATTGCGTTCCCATATATCTTCCTCAGGACCGACATCGAAAAGAACAGAGTGTTTCTTGTCACCCTTTGTTGCTGTCTAAGACATGTAATCAATCAACTAGTCAACAAACTTCATACGTCGTTTTGTGGTTAAAGTTTCAGGGAGCCAAAGGTTAGGACATGGTATGACGTCTTACCACCAGAATAGACAAGCCATGCGCAGCACAACAGATATCACCCATGCGCAATTCTCTGCTCGCATCGCCGCGATCCGTGATCTCATTGCCAGGCTTGAAAATAATGTTGCCCATTTGCCCCGCTATCCGGACCGTATCGGGGGCTGCGGGCGACATGGGGTCAAGCTCATTGTCGATGATCACGGTGGCTTCGAGTGAGTCCACTTCTTGGAGGTTCAGATGTGGTAAATCATCCATAGTGAGCGACTTCAAGGCTTTGGCTCCGTCTACACTTTCGAAAAAACCCAATAAGTACTGATAAAGCGATCAGCTTTGAGGCACCGCAATATGTAGTTCAGCCCCGGAGTGCCCCCACCTTTGGACTGGATGACGGGCTTGGACGCGGGGAAAACCGAGCTGGATTCCTTAAAGTATTGGTCGCTAATCGTGAAGGAGGGCTTGATTTGTCTGGATCAAAAATTAGCGGCGCAGTTTGTGGTCCCAATCAAAGGTGCATTCAGGAAACATGCTGAGGCGCGCATTGTTTGGGAGAAGTTGGATCGAGTTGGGCCGGTGTAAGCCGCGCCTACAGAGTTCGGCCGGCACCATCGGTCTCTTATGAGTCGATATTTAGATCTTGAAAATTTAATTGAGTCGACATTGATTCCTTCGAATATTTATGATTGCCACTTGAGATAGAATTTCAACTAGATGGCTATAGTATAGTCAACATACAAAACACACGACGCGAGGTGAAGCTTAAGGAAATCCCCAGAGACTCAAATGTCCAATGCTACATGCAAAGAAGCTCAAAAAAAAAAAAAAAAGACATCAGGCATAATTAATACATCAACATAAGAAGGTTTCGTCAAAGTCTCTGGTTGAGAATCAACAAGGGTATCATGATATGATCGCTGAAAAAGAACCGCTACATGTGCATAGGGGCCCATTCTTGTCCTGGGTAGGCAGTGGGGGACATGACAATTTCATCACTGTCGTCATCTTTGAGGGCAAGCTCGACAGGCTCGGAGTTGCGGTTGAATGTCTTAGTCTCATCGCGGTGGGGATGTTCCGAAAGAGTTATAGTAGACATACCCGAGACGGCGATGTTTTTGGGCTCGATTGTCACAGTGGACTCGGGCTGAGTATCGATAGGTTTTCGGGACTTAATGCTGACATTGGGCTTGAGGGCTGACTTGACTGGCTGGGAGGATTGCTCCTCGAATTCTTTGACTGCCTTAGGGGAGTCATGTGCGCCCTCCGACGATTGACGTACTAGCTGCTCCTCTTGAGACACCTGACCTCCAGGTCCCCATGGCTGCGAATCCACAAAGCCATTGTTGTTTGATTCGGAATGGGGTATAGAAGACAGGGGCTGGCTAATTAGAGGCAAGCTCTTCACACGGGTGTGTTGAGTTGAAGGCGGATAGTCGGTAGATGGAGCCTGGGAATAGAAGCGACCAGATGCCAAGGCATTGGCCGATGCACTCGGAGGAAGATGTATACTCGCACGTTGGCGAGATGCACTATCGCTAGACAGTCGTCTACTCGACTCAAACTTAGCGGCTGGTGTTTCGGACGGAGCAAGCTCTGCAGAATTTTCATGTCCGCCCTGTGAACCCGACAAGTGTGTGCGGTCAATCAAAGGGGAAGCTGGCAGGTCTTTGTCCTCCGACTCACCGGCCGCAGACGTTGGGTGGCTATTTTTCAGGTCGACTGGAGGTTGAGACTCGGAACGAGTAAAGAAGTTCTGTGCCTTGTTAAACTAACGATTCAAACAAGAAGAGTGTAAAACATGGGTGCTTACACTTAGCATGCTGAAGCTTCGTTTCCGCTGGTGCGTCTTCTCCTTCTCCTGAGGTTCTGGCTGGCTGATCTTTTCTTGAAGCCCCCGAAGTCCTCCTTGAATACCGGACAAAAGATCGCCCACCGAAGCACGGCGTCGTTTCCCAAAGCTCTTCAATTTATCCATCTTGGACTCACCATTCTGTGCTGAGGAGTTTGTTTCAATACGCGACGATATTTCATTCGCAGGAGTAGGCGGCCGAGTACCTCTGCTGTTGTTGCTCTGGCGGCCCCAACTTCCAAAGCTTAACATGCTGCTTCGGTTTGCTGGCGAGTATCTGACTTCATTTCTCAATGGGCTTTGCATATTCGGCGCAGAAGGCGGAAGTCCACTGATCGACCTTCGCTTTGCGTCAAGAACTTCAGCAGATGTTGCGGGTCTCGGCAGGGGTACAGGCACAAAGCCCGGGGAAATCTCCTCAGCAGATGGCAGGGAAGAAGTAGAAGTCTTGTTCTGAGGTAACGCCTTGCCATAGATAGAATCATCTGTCTCTGGCGATGGTGGTTGCAACGGGGATGGCGGAGTGTCATCCTGCTGATCGTTCTTGTTTCTCTCATCGGCGCCAAGTGTTGAAACTGATCGCTGGCGTGTATGACCTTCCTTAGGTGGCGCAAGATCTTTTGGTGGGGTAGCTGGTGGGATGTCGCTTGGTGAGACTGCCTCCAGCGGAGTTGTGGGCGGAGACGCTGACTCGGTCTCAATAACAGGGCGAATGGATGGAATCAGGATGTGCGGCAAACCCAGAACAGGCTCGGTGCTTGAATTTCTTGCTCCCGGGAAAACCAAACCATTGGACTCCCTGACGGGAAGCACCGGCAAGCTCTTTTCTCCACTTGAAGGTTGGTTGCTATGCATATTATCTTCCTCGGCCACCCCATGATCATTATTGGAAGGTGGTCGTGGGGTCCCCTGAAGCCGCCCATCAGGTGCACTGAAGGGAAGTGCCGGGTCCGCGTTAGCCAGCGGGTCAGGTAGGGGTTTAGTAGGAGACAGGCCAAGAGCAGCAATCATCTCCTGCTCGAGGTCACTGACCATGCCAGAGTTTCTGGCATTTGCCTTCCGAGATCGATCTTCATCCGATGATAAAGGTTGCAAAGGTTGTGAAACAGCTCTACCGGATGTACCTTCAAGGTCCGTTTGGAAGCCTTGGAGATCCATGGAGCCGGTAGACTTGAAGCGTTTGCCGGAACGGTGCACATCCTGTGCATTGTCTCCAGAAGGAGCAGATGTGTTTTTGTTTTGCCCAAACTTGAAAACAGGCAGGCTGCCTAGGTTGACAGATCTGCGGAAGGAAGAATTACCCTGGGAGCTATTTGACTCCGATTGTAAGCCGAAGTGAAGACTTCTTGGCCGAGAGGTCGACGACTGATCCTACAGCATTACCAACATTAGAACGGGCTCAAACTAGAAATGAAATGGTGAAATGTGTGGAGATGGAAAAGTCAATATAGAGATGCATCAATCGTGTCGCATTCTAGTTGTCCAATGCCAGAGCGATGGGAAATTACATCGTGGTATAAGAAAGTTTGAAAAATAGAAGCAGAATTGCAAACACCGCTGCGCTGGCCGTCCGGCGCGCCATTCAAAAAAGTGCAATAAGACCCCGATAACTGAAAAAAAAAAGATCATGTATCTACCTTGTCTCCGCCTGCCCGGAACTTGCTTCTGCCTTTAGCAAAGAAGCCCTTAGCAGCTTCGCCGGCCTTGCCGCCGAATGTGCCCGCCGTATGGAGGAATTCCTTGCCACGTTGTTCGACATTTGACTTGTTCATGATGGTTCCAATATTACCAGAAGGCCGCCTTACATGACTGGCACTGGTTGGGTCACCATCCTCCTTTGGCGTAGTCAGGTTGCCGATGGAAGCGAGCTTTTTGGGGAACCGACTTCTGATTGGAGAGTTACGAGGTATACCAGATACGCTCTGGCTCGAGTAGACTAAATCCGCATGCTCCGGGTGGTCGTGAATAGTAATCTGAAGCCAGTGGTTTAAACCACTGTTGAGGGCGGAAAATTGATCTCTCGTGTTGTCAAAGGCCTTCGTACGTTCACCAGCAGACGTAATATTTAGAATATCACGGAAACCCTGGAGCTTGTTCTCGTCGATAGATAAAGTCCCCACAGGCATAGAATGAGCACTGGTCTGGGGTCCTTGGCCATCCACCGGTCCCATAACCTGCACTGGAGGTGCGGAGTTTTCCGGAATTGGAGGTACAATTGAAAGCCTGGGTTTCTCAACGCGCAAGCTGTCAGAGCATTCGCTATCATAGGCTGGCAGTTCCCGGTCAACACTCTCCGGCGCGTGAGCGGCAGGGTCTTCAGGAAGAGGCACGGCTGGTTGCGAAGACAAAGGAGCATTACCGCCAGAAGGAGCTTGGGTTGGCTGACCAGTCGAAGAGGATGACTCCCACGAAAATCGTCTTCCTAACCGAGGTTTCTGTGGGGCTTCCTCAACCAAAGAAGACTCAGCAGGTGTTTGATGAGTTCCATATGGATCCTGAGAACCCAGGGGGTGAGAATTAGTCCAGTCCGGATGAGATTCAGAAACCAAAGCTTTGGGAGTCTCAGTACCAGGACCGGTTTGTCCATCCCAATATTTCTCATATTGGTGTGGGATGGAGTCCTCCTTGGTTTCCTCGGCTTGGGGAATATGATCTGGCTCTTGTGAGCCCTCTCTGCTCAGTGAGCGAATTATTTCTTCTCTGAGTCGGTCATTATCCCCGTCTTCTGGGGAGTCAATGTTAGATGCGGGGATAATCGTAGGGATACTGCCTCGATACCCGTCCGACCCAGACTGCTCAGACATCTTCCTTTCACCGAATTTGAGTGGCGCAACAAAGTTCTCAGCGGCGGGGGTTGTCCCATCAAGGGGCTGCGGTGGCAACGGAGTCTGACCAGGAGAGATGGAAGACAATTCTGCTTGGCCTTCCGAGGGTGGCTCCTGCTCAGTGAGAATCGGTTTCTTCGAAGGGCTATTGTCCCGGCTCGGAACGCTCAGATCACGTCGGTGACCTGGAATAAAAGCAGGCACATCATTGAGAGCCCCAGTAGGGGTACTCGACTCTGCAGGTTCCTCAGGAATAGTGGGTGTTCTATCCTGAGGTCCACGATTACTAATGATGGGGCTGATCACGGAAGTTCCATCGCTATTCGATCGTGCCACACTGCCAGCAGTAGAATTTGGAGTTTCTGGGACATCGAAGGCTTGATGAACCACTGACGTGAATCCCTGAGAAGCCTCCGAGGCCTGAGAGGCTTGAGAAGGATTATGCTGTAAGGTTGGCTCCCTGGTTTCTGTACTAGTTGGCTGCACGATCGAGTCACCCGAATCTAGAAAATCGGTACCAAACGCGGACATTCGCTTTATGTCAGGCAATCCAACGGCAGGCGCATTCTGTGCCGGCTCCGAAAGAGTACTGATGGAGTCGGCATTTTGTAATTGACTTCCAGGCTGCAAAGAGATTGGAGGCGTCCCCAGCTGGGGAGAGCCCGTTGGTGTCTTCTCATGCATGCGCTTGTATAGATCCGCAGGTCTGACGAAAGGAGCGGCCTTTTGTTGATCGGTACTGGCGTCAACAGTCGGGCTACCGCGAGAATCGTTTTCAGCTCCAAATCCCATCCCGGACAAACGCCTGGAGCTCAACTCGGATGAGCTGCCAGTTCTTTGCGTTGCATATGGAGGTCGGGGCACAATCGGGGGGAGCTTCCTCTTCCTCCTCTTCATCGTCTTCGTCGCCCCAGTCTCCACCATCATACGAATATTGTTTAGCTTCCACCCAGCGTTTTGTTTTTGAGCGGTTCACGTTCGTTCGGAAAGAGATTGGGTTGCTTCCTGCACTTGCTGGGGAGAGAGGGCTATCTGTACTGGGAGGCGAGGGGCTGGCAGAATGTCTTAGAGCTTGTGCGACAGCGACAAAAAGGGGAGGGGGAAACGTAGACAGTTAACTTACAGATTATGGCCGGCACGGCCCTGCAGGTTAGGATTCGCCATCAGTTTGAGAGCATCCAAAGGTCCAGAATTGGGCTAAATATTCAACATCGGTTGCTGCCTGCTAGATCGAAAAGTGCCGTATTTCTGCCTCACCCTTCACCGGTGGGAAGATGATGCCCGGGGAAGCTGTGGCGCGTGATATACTCACGCAAATGGAGTGAGTGGACAGCTGGGTATGAGGGAAGACGGTGGCGTGAGCAACGATGCCAATGCGGGCGCCGATCAGATCGGTTAGTTGACGGGGGGCGGAAACAAGATTATTGTACAATGATCGGAGATGACGTGTCCACCAAAAGGAAAATAAGGGGTATAATTTTGATGCAAAGAAGTACAACACGAGAGAAATAGTGAAACGAGAGAAACGGGTGATATATCAATTTTCCCCTGATTTACATCCGGGGAAGAGGGCAAGTGGCATACAAACGTTAGGTAACAATTTACTGCTAAATTTAGTTAGTGACCTGAAGGCGGTGCACGGTGATGTAAGCCGGTGGCGCAGAGTCACGTGGGTCCGCGATCGACGTGTTTCGTTTTGAGTTGAGAGTGCCCTGAATTAGAGATCCAGGCAACCTGGAGAGCAAAAAGGCCCACAGTTGTTCATTTACTTGACCCTTCACTTTCAGGTTCCAGCCGCCGATTTGCGCTTCCCCGAATTCCATCTGGAACGCCAGACTGCTGCAACCGGACACGCTGCCCCTTATCGATTAAAGATAGTTGAATTACAACTACCCCAAAACAGCGACAGAGTTCCTCGGATCTCAGTCATCTGGACGTATCGGAGATACCCCACCCATCTTATTCTATTCTACTCGACGTCTTCCATACCCGCATAATGACTGGCCCGTCAATTCAAGATCGCACCAGCGAGTTTAGCTCTATCCTGGGCCAAGCCCAAAAGCGACAGGGCGCTTCGAAGGTTGGATCACAGCGCCAAGCGCTGTTGACAGATACACAGCGGCGACAGGCCAATGGATCACCATCTGGAGCGCAGGAGGTAAAATCCGGGCGCTCGGAGTTTGCGCGAAGGGCAAGGGACATTGGAAAGGGGATCACCGGAACAACAGCAAAACTGCAGCGGCTGGCAGAGTGTGAGTATTATTCAGATCTTGCGACGGAGATAGGAAGCGATGATCTGACAGCAATTAGTGGCGAAGCGGAAAACGCTCTTCGATGACCGACCGGTCGAGATTTCCGAGTTGACATACGTGATCAAGCAAGATCTGGCGTCCCTGAACCAACAAATCGCGTCTCTATCTGCCTTGACTCAGGCACAACACCCGAAATTTAATCGCTCGAAGACCGACCAGGAGGGCGAACACAATGATAACGTGAGTGGGATTTCTGAGGAACGCACGCTCGGGCCACTGCTAATAGGTCCCAGGTTGTTGTTATGCTACAGGGTAAACTGGCCGATGTTGGTGCTAGCTTCAAGGACGTTCTGGAAGTTCGGACAAAGAATATCCAAGCATCCCGCTCAAGAACTGAGAACTTTGTCTCCTCTGTGTCATCCAAATCACAGGGTGCACTCGATTCCCAACGCTCCGATTCACCTTTATACAATCCCTCGGGGAGACGAACTCCTCAGCCTGGAGGATACCAAGGGAACTCCTCAGATCTCTTGACTCTAGACCCCTCAAACCCTTCACCATTGGGACGTCCCTCTATGCAATCAGACCAACAACTTATGGTCATGGAGGAGGCCCAGTCGAGCAACAGCTACACCCAGGCCCGCGGAGAGGCGATTGAGGCGATTGAACGGACAATCAGTGAACTCGGCGGAATCTTCGGCCAACTGGCTCAGATGGTCAGCGAGCAATCTGAAATGATCCAACGCATTGATGCCAACACAGAAGATGTCGTGGACAACGTTGAAGGTGCACAGCGAGAACTGATGAAGTATTGGACTCGCGTTTCTGGCAACAGATGGCTAATCGCCAAAATGTTTGGCGTTTTGATGGTACGTACTCCCTGGTTCCAATTCTTTACGACAATTCTAATGCATGTAATAGATTTTCTTCCTCCTTTGGGTCTTGATTTCGTGATAGACACCATTTTATCTTTTACTTTTGTCCTTCAGCACTGTATTATAATACTTGGCTGTACCTTTCAGACAGATAACGGCCCCCCTTCTGCATGTCTCTTTCATCCGACATTCCCCCCTTTTTGTCTTGCGACTAGACTCTGGATGTCTGCTATTCGCTCCTATTTTCCCTTTTCATCTCTTCACAGGACTGTGTCCTTTCTAAGAGACCGAAGTAAATACACCATGTACTAATCCACATCCCCAATGAACTTGCTAGTATTCATATTCTACTTTTGTTAACAAAGGCAAAAAATCCATGATGTAGTTTATTCAGGCGGTATTTAACAGGGTTATTGCACCCCAAAGCTCCGAATCTGCCCACCCAAGGGAGGGTTGGTTATCGAACAGCTCCCACATAAGATTGTCATTCCATCCTTCCACAGAAGGCACCGATTGTGGTACGTCAGAAACTGCCCTGCTAGGACCCGGGCTTGGTAGTGTATTCAGAGTATGATCCGAAGCCCGGCCAAACATCTCAGTATAGGGACTGCTGAGCTGAGGTTCTCTCTCACTACTTGGAGCACCAACAAGTTCAAGCACTGTACCTTCAGAGGAAGACCATACATTACTTTCCTTGATCAGTGGCGCGCAGAGATCTAAAAATTTGGAAAACAGACCATAAAGCTTGCCAATGGAAGCGTTTGCTTTGGCAAACTGGCGCAAGTTGCCAGTGATTTCCTTGATCATTCCGAAATCGCGGTGGTCAGATGTCGCAACAACGTTGCAGAACAGTACGAAGAATGGCGAAAGCGGGAATAGTAGCATGGTCCTGACAGTGAAGTAAGCTTCTTGTCTCTCAGGTCTGGGGGAAAAAATAGGAAGAAACCAAATATGTCAACATACCACGTGAGGAAGTACGGATAGGCATTGACCGATATCTCATCAGTGGAGAATGCCTCTTGCAAGGCCCGAAGAGTGATAAGTCCCTCCCGAGCTGCGTAAAGGCAGTCTTCGCATACCATGCGAGATTTTAGAACCGAAGACCGTGCCCGGATGATTGTGGTTAAGATAGAGTAGTAGTTGAAATCCATCGATAGCCATTCACGGCGCAGGATTGGCCATGCAGCCGAGAAGTCTAATTCTTGACGCCTTTGATGCTGCGATGAATGAGCCATCTAACATTGGTTTAGGTTAAAGCTGTGTAGACTTACTATTTGTAGGTTGGAGTGGATTGTCTGTGCTCGGACCACAAGATCAGACAGAAGACTCGCCTTCCCCATGTCGCTCATCTCCTTGGTGTCGAGAAGAATATGCACGAGAGTATTTTTGAGATGCGCTAGCTCCACAATCCCTCTTATCATTGCTGTTGTGGGTAGTTCCGGATCCAAATGAATCAATTGCACTGGCTCAACTTTCAGCTCTGGTAAAGACGGTGGTCGAAGAAGAAGCAAGCTCAGAGTCTTGTCAAAGTAGTAGCATGTGTAGACACATGCATGTATATCTTTTTCCACTTCGTTCTGGGGTATGGGGTTGGTAATGTTGTGGTAGTTCAAGGCGACGATAATCCTTGAAGCGTGAGCCGTGAACATCCAACAACGGGACATGTTCCCCAAATATTGCATCAAACGTTTCTAGTGGGGATTAGTAGGCTTAGATGCATCGTAAAACGAGATTCCACTTACACCGGACAGCAATGCTTGAAGTAAAGTCAGACTTGGAGTAGCCGTTAGAGGAACCGAGTTCAGCTCTTCAATAGCGGCTGCTTCATACTGCTTCTTCAGATTCCTGAAATGCACTTTCAGAGGCTGACTTGATATCAATGGCGCCAATTTTGAAATACAAGAGATAGCCTTTACCCATACTGTAATTCGGTAAAGTTGAAGTATCTGCTCACTCTCAGTGTGCTCGATAATAGCAAGGCCCATCCGCTCCAGTGTTTGATCTGATATGTGATCTGGCCACGCAATTGTTCCTTGGGAATTCGTCATTCTGTCGGGACCTACAGCAGTTAGGATTCCATTTCAAACAGAATGCGTTTTTTTTTTTTTTTGGGTATATTCACCTGGTAGCATCATATAAAGCAACTCAGGTGTGAGAGTAGGAGGCGCTGTTTCTCCAATTTCTAGTTCCTTGGCAGCACCAGTTTCATAACGATGAATTCCAGGATTCGAAAGCTGGCTGACAAATTTCTGTGCCATTTCGAGTGTTGTTCGCCTGTCCTTTGAGAGAGCTGGGTTGCATTGGAGCTCATGTTCGATGTATTCCTTTGCTTCACTAGCATGTCGTGCTGAGTCTGGTAAGTGTCGCTCGCCGTGGATATTTGATACAATACTTTGCGATGTCCTCCGTTTCGTTGGTTGCAGACCAAAAGAACTGGTCTCAGTAGTGATAATGCTAGACTGGTACTTTCTTTTTGAAGCCGGTTTTGTGGAATCCAGGGGCTTTGCCCTCGGAGATGACGACGCAGTTTGATTTGTGTCATGGCTGCCGATAACTGGCGAAGGTGGTGACAAAGTCGAGGTGTCCTCATTTGATTTCTCGAGTTTTGCCAATCGGTCGGATAAGGCTTCCAGACTGTTGATTATGAGCTACGTCGATAGCTGATACATCTACTGGCAATACATACCGAGAGACTCTAGGCCGATGAATCCTCGCCTGGCGAGCACGACAGCATTCCACCCGTGCATCTACACAGTTGAGACATGGATCCTGCCGATCGCATTTCACCTGATGTTGGTTTAGTAACGCTGGCCATGATTTTGATGATCATCTCTGACCTTTCTTGTATGGCACAAGTCACACTGTCAAAAAGTCAATTGAAAATTAAATATGCCCATTTTGTCTGTCACCGGGTGACTTACTGCGGGCATCGTAGCCATCATTTTGTCAAGAACGAAGAGTCAGATGAGAGTTGGAACAATAAGAAACTGGAACTGCTTATGTCGCATGTGATTGATAATGCCATTGATCAAGTTGACGTTGAGGTAAGGAGCAAACGCGAAGTTGTCCTGAGCCTTGGAGCTATCGGAGATCTCCGAAAAGCCGGGGCCCGAACAAGATAGGTTAGTGCGAGCGCAGCCTATCATGGCCCAAACTTTACTGTATAACTTCTTGGCCAACTCTATGGGGATAGCACTTTGGCCAAATCATGTTCAATCTTTATTCCTCGATATAGCAGTATTTACAATGCAATTTTATCGCGGACCCGTGAAGGACTGGAACAGGCTCCTCTGATTCATGCGGGATTGCCCCCCTTCGAAGCATTTCCTGATGACAAGCCCCAAACCAGACTTTTTCAAGAGCAAGAGGAGCGTGTGAGACTTGATTGGGATTTGACTTTGAACTTGCCACGTACTGGCCTAGGTCCTCGCGCATCTGCCACATGAACTCCCTCCGATGGGACCAATTCGAGGAACGGAATGGAGAGTCTCTTTGCTCTTCATCATGCGCAACTGCGACGAAGAACTGTAGAATCCGCTCCAAGGTAGACGTCATAAAGAGGAGACTGACCCAATTTTCGGAAGATGAATAGGGGAACTCGGGATGCATCAGCCGGCGGACCGTTGCGCAAAGAAGCTCCAAGCAGTGCTGCGTTGAAAAAAGGATCTGAGAATCTGTGAAAGGTGCAGACTGAAGAATAGATTCTTGATATTCAATGGACTTGAAAAGATTGGCGAATGGGACCAAGGAGTTCGAACCTAGGTCGTCGGCTGCACATGACTCGAGAAAAAAGATCGCGTATGCCCTGGTCGAAATTAGATATTGGTCGGATCATTGAACATTCGAGGCCCATACATTGGATAGAGAAGTTTGGCATGAAGTGTTGCGACGGCTCTACTGTAAACAACTTCTTTTTCTGTCTTGGACGAGGTCCAAAGCGGGCGAGCAATGGGGTCGGTGTCCAGATGATGTCGAACGGTATGATCGGCCAAATGATAAGACAACTGTATACAGGTGACCCAGCACCGTTTAAGGTCTGCTAGGTAGGCAAAAGAGTAATTGGCATCATCGTGGCCGTCACCTATGGCATAATGAGGTGGAGGTGGTGGAAATAGCTCAGATATGAAGGTCAAATCGTCGCCCGGCGAGAAATTCGTATCGTTAGGAGAGCCAGGCCCACGTTGTCGATGGAGATCGACGTATGAATGTGAAATAGCAAATTCATTTTTGAAAATTCGCCGATGCAACAAACGACATGTTAATGCCAGCGATACAATATCTTCTAGATCGCAAAGTGAGACCAATCTGACGAGAACTTTATCGGGGAGTCGTTTCCACAATGACTCCTTTGGTCCAACGGAAAAAGACAGTCTTTTCCCTCGACGAGAAAGCACGGTGCGAAGTCGATTAAAAATTGGTGCCATGATTTGGGTGTTGAGTTATCAACATGCCGGCGCAGGTGTGTGACGCTCGGGGTACTGAACTGCTGCAATTTACCCTGGAGCCTTTTACACTTATCCGAGTCCCCGTGATCGATGATGACCCATTTTTCTTTCTCCAGAAGTCCAGAGGTACATGATATGAGAGGAGACAGTGGAGTGTCATGTCGAAACCTGAAACACGAGAGCCCACATAATGTATGCCCCGCCAATAAGGCAGAAACGTTATTGGTGCCTTAAGGCGTACATCACCCCGTCATTCACGGCGATCGAGCGTTTCCCCACAACAGCTAGAATCAATAGGCACTTTATCTCCTAATACGGGATTTGAGACACGGTGGTATTACCAAGGCATTAAGAGTCATCTGAGGGCGTGTGTCGCGCGAATGCTGCACAGCCCACGATGGAATCATTATCACATTCACCAAAGCCATACTCATGTGTCATCTGCCACAACAGAAAAGTCAAATGTGATCGCAAAGAGCCTTGCTCAAACTGTGCCAAGGCCAATGCTGAGTGTATTTATTGTCCTCCACCGCCACCACGTCGCCGCAAGAGAGAACGCGACGCCAGTGGAACTGCGTTTCAGAAACGCGAGAAGTCAATTCGACGAACGACACCGGAGCCTCCACGAGTTGAACAGCCCGACCAAAGGCCATCACCGACAAGCGGTGAGCCATCTGACGCTGAATCTAAGAGAAGTGGATCGGGGAGGATGATCATGAAAGAGGGAAATTCAATTTATCTCGACAAGTTAGTTATCTCTTGGACTAACTCGCGGGTCTTGCTTAACATTGAAACAGCACTCTTTGGACCAGCGCTAGTTATGAGGTGCGTGCCATTCTGTTATCAGTCCTATCATATTTTTGACGTCTGAATATAGCTTCCGAATGCTGCAGACGTATTAGATAATACATCTGATGATCGCAATGATGGTTTGTCCCAAGAAGAGGATATCAGTGAACCTATGATGCTCATGGGGCTTGTGTCCCGAGAGAGTCTCACTGAACTACACCCAAACCCTTTGCAAATATTCAAACTATGGCAGACATTTCTCGAGAACGTCAACCCTTTGATCAAAATTGTGCATGCACCAACGGTCCAGCAACAGATATTAGAGGCCACTGGAAATCTCCCGAAAGTAGGAAAAGAGCTAGAGGCGTTGATGTTTGCCATATACTGTATTGCATTGGTATCTCTACAGGCCGACGAGGTTGAGCGGTCTTTTGGAGAAAGCAAAAAGAAGCTACTATTAAGATGCCGGCGAGGAGCGCAATTGGCCCTGAGCAAGGCATCGATTCTTCGCACTTCAAACCTCATGTCCTTACAGGCATTCGTGCTCTATCTAGTGAGCTGACCCTTTCAAGACTGGGAACTGATTTAACAAAGTTGATAGTTGTCTATGCGTGCATTCTCCGACCCACATACCACCTGGACTATGAGCGGTGTTGCCTCGCGAATTGCTCAGAGAATGGGAATCCATCGAGATGGTTCTGGATATGGACTCGACGCATTTGAAACTGAAATTAGACGCCGGATCTGGCTTCAAGTTGTGATCATAGATTCGACGTCCGCGCAGTTCTGTGGGGTCGCTCCAAGCCCTTTGCCCGCTAATACTGATACCAAGCCACCCATGAACAATAATGATAGCGATCTAGACCCGCGCATGACTGAGTCGCCCTATGAGAAGCAGGGTGCAACGGAGATGATGTTTTGCCTTGCTCGCAGCGAATTCGGTAAATGGCTTAGTCGCTGGAGCAAGGACGCAGGCCTGACCAATTCGCCTTGGGCCTTTCTATCCTCTTCATCAATGTCGCTTGAACAGAAGGATATTGCTATCGACGAACTGGAGAATATTATGGAGAAGAAATTTTTACAGTTTTGCGACCGATCCATTCCTCTTCATCTGGCTACTATAATGATGGCCCGTTCAGCCATACATTACACGAGGTTAATAGCGCACCACCCGCGGCAATATCGGGACCGCAATGCTCGCATTTCACAGGCTGAAAAGGACATTGTTTTTGAAAACTGCCTGAAGATGGCTGAATATGCAGATCATACTCAAACCAATCCCGACGTCCAGCGGTTTGGGTGGCACACGGTGCACCACATGCCCTGGGATGCGATGATTTTCATGTTGTCTGAAATGGACACCCGGAAAGATCCAGAGGAGAAAGAAAAGGTATGGAAAGTTGTCGGGAATATTTATTCCCGTCATGTTGGACAAAGGCGCAAAACTACTGGGATGCCTCTTCACCTGGCCCTGCAAAATCTCATGGTCAAGGCTTGGAAATCGTACACTAGGGAGTGTCAGATCCAGAACCGTGCCCCAACAACCTGTCCGACCATGATAACTACTTTAATTGGCAAGCCCGAATGTGCCACCGAGTCACAAGTGACACAAGGGGATTCTAGTTCGATCCAGCAAATGAATGACCCCATGGGATTCCATCACGACGCATCAATTTTACAACCTGACGACAACAGAAATTTCGATTTTTCATTTGAGGATACCAGCACATTGGACTGGAACGAGTGGGATGGCCTTTTGAATCAGTTCCAAGAATCACTAATGGACGATATGGTCCACTTCACAAATCTGTGATGACGTATAGCGAGATTGAATAGGGTGAAACAAAGACAAAAAACCCTTGCTCGACTTACGGTCGCACGCAGCAGGCCATCTACGGCTCGCGCCGATCGGGACGCGAGGATCTTACCACACCCATGTATTTGTATCGGCGTCGGGGTCTACTACGCCCGACCACGGGGTTGCCCGCCCCGTTTACCCGGGATCAGCTGGCATGGTCAAAACCAGTTGGCACGTTTTGACCTTTCAGATATAAAGCAGCTAGGACCTCAATATACACTGATAACATAGAAGACCCAGCGCTTTTTCGACCTTGATCCCTTAAGACTTTTCTCGCCTTACCGCATCAGCATCGTCAATTACATCTTCAATTCAATGACCCGAATAGACGTTCTCATTATTGGTGCAGGGCCAACTGGTCTCGTGCTTGCTCTTTGGCTCCATAAACAGGGCATCACAGTTCGTATCGTCGACATAGCAGAAGGCCCAGCAAAACACTCCCGGGCCATTGTTATCCATGCTCGTATCCTAGAACTATATCGGCAGCTCAATTTGGTTGAGGAATTACAAGCTAGCGGATATCAGCTACCAGCGACAAACATCTGGGTTGGCGGCCAACATCGTGCGCGCATCGGGCTGTCAGAAGTTGGCAAAGACCTGACCCCATATCCATACATTTTGATGCTTCCGCAGGATGACCATGAGCGCATCCTGGAAAACAAACTTCAGTCCCTTGGAGTCCTGGTGGAGCGAAACACAGAGTTCACAGAGTATGTGGATCATGGATCCAGTGTTACCGCAACTTTGCGCCGAAAGATCGATGGAAGCGAGATAGCCTGTGAAGCAGCATATATTGTTGGTTGTGACGGAGCGCATTCACCAGTTCGACGCGGCATAGATGCCAAATACGAGGGCGAGACGTATGTCCCTTTGTTCTATATTGCCGACATCGAAGCCGAAGATTACGACAGCCCTCTTCTTAACGGCGAAGGCCATTTGAGAATCCGGGACGAGAGATTTACCATGTTACTTCCTTTAAATGATAGCAGAAATTTCAGATTGGCTGGTATCATCATTGCAGATGGAGATCAGAAAGTCGACATGTCGACCCCTCATCCACATGTCACTTTCGAAGATGTGCTGCCAGATATCAAGAGGTCATCAGGAATCAGAATCAAAAAGCTGAATTGGTTCACGACATACCGGATCCATCACCGCGTTGCCGAATCATTTCATAAACACCGGGCATTCCTCGTTGGTGATGCTGCTCACATCCACAGCCCCGTGGGTGGACAAGGCATGAACACCGGTATCATGGACGCTATCAATCTCGCTTGGAAGCTCGCCACTGTGATAAAACACCCCGACATGAAAGAAGAATTACAAAATAAGCTCCTGGATTCATATGAGACTGAACGCCGTGCTTTCGCGCTCGACGTCATTGGCACGACTGATCACGGCTTTACCATTCTCACAGGCCAAGGATTATTACCACGTCTATTGCGGAATTGGATTATCCCATATATGTTCCCAATTATCATGAAGTTCAATTCCGGGAGAACTCGAATTTTCCGAGGTGTCTCCCAACTCGTGTGCACTTACCGCGGAGGTCCACTGAGCCAGGTCGCCGTTGGCTCTGAAACAATACAACCGGGAGACCGCCTACCATGGGCGAAGACAGAAGCGACGGACAATTACTCGACTATCCATCACATCTCCTGGCAACTCCATATTTACGGTGATCAGCGACCCGACCTGGAGAAGTGGTGCAGTGCACACAGTATCCAGCTCACCGTCTTCGCGTGGGATCCGCACCACGGCAAACTTGGTTTTAAGGAAGATGCGGCATATTTATTGCGACCGGATCAGTATATTGCTGGCATATATGAAGGTGCTTCAATTCAATCAAGTCTGGAGGACTATCTTTCTTCTCATGGCCTGTTGTTTTAGATTTGCATGGCATGGGATTGTGACATACGATTTACGATTACGATTTGCGCATTCTTCCTTCTTTGGGGGTTTGAAAATGGAGCATTTAGCATCTCTCAGCTCTTTTGCGTTCTGAAATTGAATGATGATCCTACATTGACGAGTCGATCCAGCGCCTTTTAATTGATCTACCCCGCATTTCAACCCCAGAACTGCGGCCCAGTCTTGGTCAAAGGGGATTCGGAATGTGGTCACTTCCACTAGCGGCTTTCACAACATCTACTTGCTTTCCCAGGCCCTCAATCGCAGTTATGACTAGAACCTGAAATCATTGAGAATGGCTGGGATAGAGTTTTATTCCACATAGATATGGGCAATGACTTTGTTTGATTGTTGAATGATGGTTTCTCAAATCTACGAATCATGGTGTCTGACTGAGCGGGAGTATCGGCGATGGCTCAGGGCTGTAATTTCTTGAATAGCCTCGAGGTGCTCGACCCGACTTCGAAGGCGAAATAAAGATTCAGACCTTCAATAATCTTTTGACGTTGACGGAAGTTGCCCCTTAATTCTGGGTATCCCAGACCCCAACGCTCGTCCATGCTTAGCATAATAAGCAAGGGAGATACCGGACGCTACAAGTAATTTATGCCACTATTTTGTCACTAATTGGGTGAGAAGATGGGAATAAACAACCAAAATAACATCAAGAAACTCTTTGTGCTCATCATGGACATGATTCGAAGGGCAAGAGAACCGGGTGGACGTGCACCTATTATGTAAAATGCCCAGAAGGATGTGCTCGTGATAAAGAAGACCGAGAGGAAGGAGATGATCCCCGAGGACTTTTATGCCCGATGGACCGAGCCCCCCCACTGTCACGCAGGAGACCTCCAAGACCAGCCTCTTCTCTACAATGCTGAGGACAACACGGCAATCCTTTAAGATTACGGTATTCAGGCAGATGAGAGGCATGTCATGCTCGACAAAACAGAACTGTTCTGATAATGGCTCTTAGGGACGACGTCGAAGTCATGAAGCCTTTTGAGTTGTCGAATTCTCAGATGCTAGATCATAAATGTACCTGATCTCTCAATGGTGAAATGGCTAGCAAGATGAGATATTTTGAGACAAATGTATTTTGATTGACCGCGGCAGCTGGTGAGTCTTTCGCGTATGAGTTTCCGTGTCGTCTCCACGGTGGTAGCCCATGAGCCTCAAGATTGCGTTTTGTATCAATGTGGTATCATACATAAAGCGCTTGTGCTTAATTTGATATGTCTGCCACAGCGCTCTTGTCTACGTAATATCTAATATGGTGTAGTGTGAGATTTCATAGGTAATTATGCATCCACAATCCACTGCGCCCACAGATGCGAATAAGGTTGACAGAAAGTGGGCCACCGATCCGATGCACCTTTCCCCGCCTCTCCGCAATTGATTTCCTCGGGCTTGAAAAGCCGAGCGGAATTCCCCAGACATGTCTATCATCAGAAAATCCGTCAGGCATTGCGACCCATCCCATCTTTGGTTACCCCAACATCCACGAAGAAGTGATGTCTGATCCCAGGTGCATTGATCCGACTTTAACGCGGGTCTTCGGCACCCCCAACGATAGGAAGGACTCAAAACATGGTTTGAACGTCTTTAATAATCTGTTTAACCATCAGCCAGCCGTCAACTAACTGTCTATGAACAGGCAATACGATACACATCGAGAACGTCCCTCTCGAGAATCCTGATTTGGAGAACAAATCGACAGAATTCATCCAGCATCAAGAACGAGAACACATTAGAGGCCGCCGCCTTTTCCTCGCTTTCTGCGGGTGGGTGATTACTGAGTTTATGGGTGGACTCGGTGGTAATATGCTCTCACCTGCACTCCCGGTTGTCGCGTCACAGTTCAACGGTCTGAGCAAGCTGGGCTGGGTCAGCGGAGCATATTACATGACTCAGTGTGCCTGCATGCTTCTATTCGGACAAGCATTAGCCCTATTCAATGGGAAATACGTGCTCATTTCGGCAATCGTGTTCTTCATGCTGGGTTCTGCTGTCTCCGGCGTAGCCCACAACATTGAAACGCTGATTATCGGGCGAGCTATTGCTGGCATTGGAGCCGCTGGCTGCTGGGTCTCAGTACAGACAACGGTTGCGGCATTAGTGGACCTGGAGTCGCGTCCGCTGATTCTTGGACTTTTTGGAATACAAAATGCAGTATCAGGAACCTGTGGACCTGTCCTGGCCGGCGCTCTGACAAGCCGTGGCCAATGGCGGTGGTGTTTTCTTTTGGTCTTGCCACTCGGTGTCATTAGCATCATACTGAACCTTCTTGTTATCCCGTCACTCCCGCCGCGGCCAATTGCGAAGGAAACTGAATCGAAGCTTGATCAGAAGCTCGAGTCTTGGACCAAGGTCTCTTGGAAAGACAAATCGGTATGGCTCAAGAGAGCTCTCTTGGTTGATATAACAGGGTATCTTCTCATTACAAGTGCGCTGGTATGTTTTATCCTAGCAGTTCAATGGGGCGGAGACGCATATGCGTGGGGCTCGTCCGTTGTTATTGGTCTTTTTGTTGGATTCTTCGCCATACTTGCGGCCTGGCTCCTTTGGGAATGCAAGACCACTTGGCCGCTGGTGGTGCCTAGGATATTCCTCGATCGCACAGTTGCCGGTGCCACGATAATGGCTATGCTGAATCTCATGTGCAATCTGTTCGCAGCGACTTACCTTCCTGTTCTCTACGAAGCAGGTCGAGGCGTCTCGTCTCTCAAAGCAGGGGCTCTTGTTATTCCTTTTTTGATGTCTGTTGTTGTGGTTCAGGCTTTACAAGGATTTATAATGACTTGGACAAAGCATTTTTGGACTTGGGGCCTGGTAGCCCCAATATTCCTTGCTATCGGTGGAGGCTTGCTATTCACAGTCGGTGGTGACACAAAGTCTAGCACTATAATTGGGTATCAAATCATCTACGGGACTGGCGTTGGCCTGGTACAGAATGTGCCGTATATTGCGGTGCAGGCTGATAGTACCTCGGAAGCAATTTCCAGTAAAATAGCGACAGTCTCATTTGGACAGTTGTTTGGAGGATTGTGCGGGCCAGTCATTGGTGGTGCCATTCTAGATAGCGAGCTCACAACACGCTTAGCCACAAGTGGTGTATCAAGCACCGTGGCCAGTGCAGTCAAATCGTCTGTTGACGCAGTTTGGGTGCTGAAAAGGGGCCAGTTGCGGGATAAAGTGGTTGCCGCATATATTTCGTCTTTGGATCGTATTTTTATTGTATCAGTTCCGGTTTCACTCCTTATAATTGTTGCTGGAGCATGTATCCGAAATGTTCGTCTAAACCAGGGGGCGCACTAATCAGGAAAGAGACATGAGTGAGTCTTAGGTATTTACATCTTTTCACCAAATTGTTGAACGTTGTCATAAGTTGCTTGGTGCTTCATTTCAATACATACTGTAATACTGTTGAACTTGGCTTTCTCTTTCTCCTATTGAATAAACAAGAAGCCTCTACCGCCAAGTTGCAGTTGCAGTGGCCTTTGTTCCTGAGCAACCGGTCGGGACAGTATAGCTCCGATTAGGATCGCTTTCCCATACAATGCTACCGTCCGACTCTTTCTTGATGAACTTGTACTCAAAGGTTGTACCAACGGGGAGGCTAATAGTGGCAGTCCATAGTGGATTAGACGATGTATACGAGCTTGAAGACAAGGCAATTGCAGACGAGGTAGACCAAGAGCCCAACTGGCTGATGGATCCGGTGATGAAGATGTTTTCACCGTATGTCGTAGACACCAGCTCATTGAAGGTCACTGAGATAGTTGTCGCTGCAGTGCACGTTGCTGAGGCAGTAGTGGTACTCGATGTGCTGGTACTTTTCGTAGTAGTCAAAGTGGTTGAGATCGAGCTGGCTGAGCTGGTAGAGGAGGTGATAGAGCTCGAAGTTGATCCTGATCCTGATCCTGAGCCCGATATAGCGATATCAGCACAGTGAAGGTACACCTGCGTCGTCTGATAAGAGTTCCATCTGAGGCGCAGTAGAGTATGATCCGAATCATAGTCCGGGATTTTGATTTTCTTCGTAACCGTGTAGCCTCCGGAGATAGTTGTCTTGCAGGTGCCTTCCGCAGAGCCATCTACACCCTGACAACCACGATTGGTGTCGGCATTGAAGGCATTGCACGTGAACCAGTCATTTCGGTAGCATTCCTCATCAGAAGTGCAATCAGGATTGTAGCCACAGGTTTGGCCATCAACATCCGTGCATTTCAGTTCGCCCTCCAGGAAACAATCTTCAGCAGCTTGTTTCTCCTCGGTAGTGGGGAGATAACCCGGAGTCAGAAACAAGTCAACCAGAGTTTGATTCTGACAGATTCCGTAGGTAAACATGCCACCGTGGTCACCATTGTTGTCGACACACCATTGAACTTCAACAATCTCATCCGCGGTATATGTGGCTACAACTGAATTGCCCCAGTAATCGCTGGGTTGATTGTAGTCGACACTAACTCGCGCATTGTACCCACATGGTCCGCTTCGACCAACCTGGGCTTCGTCTAGGTCGGGCCAAGAAGCGACAGGCTCAAGGATGGAACATTCCGGGCAGGTATCAATGCCAGCCTAATAAGTCAGTCTAGTACATCACACCCGTGAATACATAATCTGAAACCTCGGAAACGTACCTCGAAGCCCAATCTGGTACGACTGTAAGGAATAGTCAAATACCCATGAGCATTGACTGAGGTTAACAAGCTTGCCAAAGTGAGGATACTGACAGCCTTCATTTTGGCAAATTTGTTTTAGTAGATACTTGACAACCGGATACCTTGGACTATCAGCGGCTACGCTTTTAGTTCATGTAGGTGTTTAGAGAAACGCATTCCAATTTTGTTGCGAGATTCGCCGCTATATATACCTACTCTCATCATAACCATTGAATCACCTCGACTCTCCGATTAATCCTTATTCAAACCGAGCTTGGAAACATAATCGATTCATCTGATGCCCATGTGGCTTTTGGCTCGGTCCCAATTCTGGAGTTACCGCCGGCCTGAGGTCTGGGCGTGCCTTGGCATCTCTCGGCCTATACATCAACGAAAGTCTGTAGCCCTGGAGCCCGATAATCGTCCGACAATGGCCCGCTGAATAGTATAGCGCCAAGTAATTTAAGCCTCGGACATTTGATTAGGTTTCTTCAGGCTCCAGGGACTAGGAAGGACCCCCGCCTCCCCGGAATTATTCATGAGTTAAGCGAGCGACACTAAGGTGGCGGCCAGGCTGAACATCGAAGGACCCTTGTCGATCTTGTGGGGAAGTTAAGTTTTCAGGTTACTTTAAGGGTCCTGTTCCACCTTGGCAGAGCAGGGCGACGATGGCGTTGGTCATTTAATGTATTCATATGCCCCGAGAAAAGCCCGATGAGACGGATCTTGGCATTTCAATTTAAGCGACGTCCCGTGACCGAGTACTAAACACTTGTTTCCTCGCAAATATGGAAGACAATCTCGATATACGGAGAGAACGGACGTTTCATTGACTTCCATGGCGTTTTGGACTACTATGACGCCGGACCTGACCGCCGGGATCGTATGCCCAAGGGGGCATGGTCGGTATTCGAAAAGGGAGCTCTCTCAGTTTTGCATAAAAGATGGACATGAACACGGTTTTTTCATTTTTATAGCGAATGCCCACGTCCAAGCGGAACTTAACAGTGGCCGATAAGGCCAAGAGTTTCAAAGAAGACCGGGAATAAATCTCTTCGTGGAGCGGTGCCAGTCCTCCCATTCCCCTCCAAACTTTTGTCTCAGCATATCCTCCTCATCTCGTACTCTCATTGCCAAAGTCCAGATAACGCCTCCCATAACCGCCACACTAATCCCAAGTCCCGATCCCGCCAGTTGAGATAGGAAAGTCTCTGGAATCCAGCAAGCAGGGGTTGCATCCCATCGAAGGAATAGAAATGCGCTGCCCAGACATATCATCGCTAGTCCTGTATAGCTAGGGTGCTGAATCCAACTATAGATCCTCGTGGTCACTAAACGAGATGGTGGGGCAAGGTGGAATGTGAAGCATTCACCGAGATCGTTGTAAGCTGAGAGGCGCACATATGTGCCAACATAAATCAACAGAAGAGCGGTCACTGATGTTTGGTTCCAGACGAAGAGTTCCGGGTTGGTGTTCCGGACTAGCGGGCAGCTTTGCAATATGCGACCAGGGGCGTAGTGGGCAACTCCTACGAGGAACCCATGATAACCGACAGCAGCTACGCAAATTCTGCGCGCAACTGTCGAGAAATTCCCTGAAATGAAGCTGATGCGATCTATATTGTGTCGATACTTCTTCTCGGGGGTCGGATTTGGAGGCGTGGCAGAAAGCATCGCTAGATATGCCGCGGTTATCATGGAAATGGCGAGCACTGTTGAAGCTGACTCGGCCATGATGGGTTCTCGTGATTTGATTGACAGAAAGATGAGTAGACTCGCAACATGGTCGGGAGAACAGATCCTTTATAGAGTGGCCGTCATCCCTTGCGTCTTGTCGCACTGGTATGAGGCGCCAAATTGGAATTTCTTTATCGGACCGCTCATGTAAAGAAGTTTGTCTGATTGAATTTTTATCTGATGCCCGAGGTTGTCCGAGAGAGATCGAACAAAGAGATCTCACTAATTACAAATAACTCAGCCACTATCGTGGTCCGCCCCACACTAATGAAATTGATTGCTTCTCATTCACACATGGCTTTCTCCCTTACAGCATACAGGACAAACAACCCAATTAAGCTCCCCAAAGTTTGTGTAGTCAATGATCAGAATTCTAGCATAAGCTCCTCTATCAAAGCGATATCCGAGACCCAGTTTCCCTGCTGGGGGGTGCTAGGACCTATTAACATCGGCTAGGTAATAGCACGTACCCTGGGTTAGAGTAACCTTGCATGATCAGCCATCGATATACAGAATATTCCTGAATCCAAGGATCTACTCCCTACTTGATGATCTCTAAAACATGTTGAAGTCGATGCGGCTAAGGACTGAAACGAAACAAGGTGTCTTGACTAAAAAGGCCCCATAGACTACCGAATCTACCCCTAACTGAAGATATTCAGAAAAAGACGATTGGTAACTATCCTAGTTGCATAGATGGCATACTGGTCTTTAGATGGGGTGGTCTATGGGTATACCATGGTCAAAATATGTGTTTGCACTCCATAGGTTGTAGCATCAACCACAACCTTGGAACTGGTGACTATGGCTATTCTACTGAGTAGTCTATTGACAGTCATTCTTGTATGATATCAGAGGTTTAGCTCAAGGTCAGTTCCCGAGAGGACACGGAAAGACTCGGACTCAACCCGCGTTCTCAACCCAGAGAGCTGACTCAGCGGACCCCCAAAAAGGGAAAGAACCGGAATGCAGCACGCACGGACCTGAGGTTCGCACGGTGCCGCGGGTCGGGGCGGGGCGATAAACGATGCTCTCATCGGCGGAATTAAGGGTAGAACGCCTAAAGTTATTCCCGTGTTACATCCAGAAAACTTAATCGTATGCACGGGGACACTCAACTAAATGAATTAACTTCAGCCTTGATCAATTATAGATTCACAAGATCAAGAGGGATGTTTCTCTTGTCAATATTCTACCTAATGGGGATGCAGACGCAGGTTACGTGAACATCATCATCGATTATCGGACTGCCAACTGAAGCAACGGAAAAAAGCAACATTGAAACCAACCATAAACCCAGGATATCTCAGAATTAATAGTGAGCTAAATGGTATTGTTAATAAGTCACAATAGTCCGGGGGAACGGTTGCACTGCAGTTCACAACAACAAAATCGGTTCCGCAGGATTCCATGAACATTCTATCTAAGAGGGTCGGTGCGGTGCGGGCGACGCGTGGCTCGAATGAATGATCAAGAGCCGCCGTGTCCCGCCCCATATCGCGGGTAGTCTAGTCACAAGAAAGGGGCCCTAGAACACCCGAGTGTCACGAAGACGATCAGCAGCCCGACTGAAACATGTTGGCAGACACAGTTCATCAAGTACTGAGATTTTCAGCCTCAGAATCGCTACTCCACGTAGATTCTATTATCGTGTGGAGCAGATTTCGAAGGAGATGCAGGGGACTATATCATTGGAAAAATAGAGGAATAATGTCCTAGGTTGCCTCTACGGCATTAGCGTAGCATTCAGTAATATAATTGGCAGTCTGAACACAAGGCTGCGTGTCAAGTGGCAAGTGGAGCAAAAGACTTCGACCTTGGTGAGACTGACTGTCATATATGATTTGTCCCTGCCCAGTTTACTTGCCCCGTCATATCGAACCTAACGCATGCGAGACGCATGCAAGGCTGAACGATGCGTCGATGTACCCCCAGTATGTAAGGGCGAAAGGATGTCCCACCACCAATTGCGGGGTCTATTATTGCGCCTTGGGACATGCTTTGTTACATTTCTCGAGATCGATGACAAAGAAGCCGAGAAGAAAATAATATAAATGGTACTCAACGCCTACATGATCACTTGTAATTCACATAAGGATAGTGGCGGGTTTACACTTGTTCGGATCGCATTAATCTCTTGAGACATAATACAAATTTCGCCGTGAAAACACAATAATGGTGCCGCTCATCATCGATACCGACGGCTCGAGCCCAGGTGGCTATGCTTTGAATCCGGGTGACTTTGATTTTGACAGCGGTACAAAAGATCACCTAAGTGACCATACCGACACAGATGGCAAATTGCGAAGTGACAATTATAAGGATATTGGCAATACTTGCCCTCAGATAGATCATGCGCCAAAAATTTCAATACAAGAACCCATCGCTATTTGCGGCATGTCAGTTCGTCTTCCCGGAGGCCTACACACACCGCAACAATTATGGGACTTTTTGATTGCTAAAGGGGATGCCCGTGGCACAGTGCCTAAATCAAGATACAATGTCTCTGCATACTATTCTGACTCTGAGGCGGCGAAGCCCGGCAGCATTAAGACCGAATATGGTTATTTCCTCGATGAGAGCGTTGACTTGGCTTCTATCGATACATCTTTCTTCTCCATGGCAAAGGTTGACGTTGAGCGGATGGATCCGCATCAACGACAAATGCTCGAGGTTGCTCGCGAGTGCCTCGAGGATGCGGGTGTGAGCTGGAAAGGTCGACCGATTGGCTGCTACATGGGCAGCTTTGGCGAGGACTGGGTTGAGATGTTCGCAAAGGAGGACCAGCAATATGGTTTATACCGTGTGACTGGCTATGGAGATTTTATGCTGTCCAATCGTGTTTCATATGAAATGGACTTAACAGGGCCAAGGTAAGTCCATGTTCAAAAATAATCTGCCCACTGTTCATTCTTCTTCCACTTTACTACCTTCCATTTTCACTTTGCCCTCACCTGAATTCCTATCATGTTCTAACCCAAAATATACAGCATGGTAATTCGCACTGGCTGCTCTGCTGCTCTTGTTGCATTGCACGAGGCATGTTTAGCAATTTCCAGAGGTGACTGTGAAGGAGCCATTGTCGGGGGAGCCAATTTGATAATGGCTCCAGGGATGACCGCCGCAATGACGGAGCAAGGCGTCCTTGCACCAGATGGGTCATGCAAGACTTTTTCTGCAGACGCTAACGGTTATGCTCGTGGGGAAGCGGTCTCTGCTATCTTTATTAAGCCACTGGCTCAGGCCATACGCGATGGTAATCCCGTCCGAGCTGTTATACGGGCAACAGCTTCAAATAGCGATGGAAAGGGTACTGGCGGTGGCCTCCAAATGCCGAATGATGTTACCCAAGAAGCCATGATTAGGCGAGCTTACGAAGTTGCTGGTATTCCGGACTGCGATTACTCCCAGACGGCCTTCGTTGAGTGTCATGGCACAGGAACCTCAATCGGTGACCCGATAGAAACCCGGGCAGTCGGCCGTGTTTTTGGTCCATCCGGGGGTGTTCAGATAGGCTCTGTCAAGCCTAATCTTGGCCACTCTGAAGGTGCCTCAGGTCTTACCTCGCTGATAAAGTCAGTGTTGGCATTAGAGCATCGCATCATTCCCCCGAACATCAAGTTCAACGAGCCTAACCCTGACATCCCATGGGATACCTGTGGTCTTTCTGTTCCCACGGAAGCAACATCATGGCCCAAATCTCGAAAAGAGCGTATCAGTGTCAACTCCTTTGGAATTGGAGGCACAAACGCGCATGTGATTCTCGATTCCGCTCAAAGCTTTGGGGTCTCTCCTCTCGTCACTCAGCCAATAATATCCCCACAATTACTTGTTTATTCCGCCAACAACACGGACTCACTCAAGAGAATAATTGCCAATTATCGAGAATACGCCCAAAAGCACCCTGGCAGAGTGAATAATCTAGCCTTCACTCTAGCTAGACGAAGGGAGCATTTAACTTACCGAGCCTTCGCCGTGGCAAACCTATTCGGGGATCTCAAAGCTTCACTACCATTTCGGTCATCTAGTGAGCCCCTTAGCATTGTCATGGTTTTCACTGGTCAGGGTGCTCAATGGCCAGAAATGGGTCGATGCATGATACTTAGCCCAGCCTATCCGGTCTTCAAGGAGACTATAAGATCTCTCGACTCATATATTCGGGACCTTGAGAATGCTCCAAACTGGACAATTGAGGAAGAGCTTCAAAAACCAATCAATATTAGCAGACTCGGATCTGCTGAATTTTCTCAGCCTCTTTGCACGGCAATTCAAATTGCCTTGATCGATACATTTGCGTCCGTTGGTATCCAGCCAGATGCCGTTGTTGGCCACTCCAGTGGCGAGATAGCTGCCGCATATGCAGCCAGTGCCATCACTGCCAAGGAGGCTATCATAATTGCATTTTTCCGCGGTCAGGTCACTAAACTACAAGTCAAAGGGGCTATGGCCGCGATCGGCCTTAGCTCAGAGAGTGTACAAGAGTATTTACAGCCCGGAGTGGTTGTTGCTTGCGAAAATTCGAACAAAAGTGTGACCATCGCTGGTGACTGCGAAGCAGTTGAGCTTGCAATGATCAAGATCAAAGAAGCCCACCCTGATATCCTGGCTAAGAAGCTACAGGTGGACAAGGCATATCACTCTCACCATATGACTCAAATAGGTGATAGATATCATGCACTTATTGAAAATCATATATCGAGCAAAAGTTCCAAACGGACACTCGAGACATTATTCTTCAGCAGTGTTGAGGGCAGACTACTCACTCACGAGTCGGACCTGGAATCCAGGTATTGGCAGAGGAACTTGGAGTCTCCTGTCCTTTTCCGCTCTGCTGTTTCCTCCATTATCCAGCACAACATTGCGAAGAATATGGTATTCCTCGAGGTTGGCCCACATTCCGCGCTTGCTAGTCCGCTACGGCAAGTTCAAAGCCACCTTTCTAACACTTCTCCTTATGTTTCTACGCTTGTACGCCACCAAAACGACGTGGAATCATTTTTAACATCTATCGGGAAGCTTTATACTCTAAATGCCAGCCTTGATCTAGATAAGGTCATTGCTGAGGGTTCAGTCCTGCCGGATCTTCCTAGGTATCCTTGGGACCACTCAAAGAAATTCTGGCACGAGTCTCGATTGAGCAAGCATTGGCGACACCGGCCAGGGGGATACAAATACCACGGTCTTTTAGGTCTCCGAGTGGCAGAAAGCCTCGAATTTGAGGTTCTCTTCCGCAATGCTTTCCATCTAGAAAATGCAGCATGGATTCGTGACCACAAAATCGGCGAAGACATCGTTTTCCCTTTCGCCGCGTATGCTGGGATGATTGGTGAGGCCGTGCGGCAGGTGACTGGTATCAATGAAGCATTCAAAATGCGAAATGTGGTTGTCAATACTGCTTTGGTCTTGAAAGAAAGCAGCCAGCCAGTGGAACTGATGACTACAATGCGCCGTCACCGCCTGACAAACTCCCTCGATAGCGACTGGTGGGAGTTCACAATCGCTTCTCACAGTGGCGCAGTTTCGATAAAGCATTGTTTTGGTGAGGTCAGAGCGCATAGCGGAAATGTCTACCAGGGAAGCAATGCTCCTCTTTTGCGCAGGGTCGATACCCGTCGCTGTTACCGGACCATGGCTAGATCTGGTCTCAATTTTGGGCCTGCATTCCAACGTCTTAGTGATGTTCGCTCAGATACCCTTACACAAAAAGCAACATCAGAGGTGATTCGCAAGAAAACAGATGACGAGAGCTACCATTTACATCCGACCATCATCGATGCTTTACTACAGCTACTCCCTATTGCTGCGTCCAAGGGCTACGCCAACGCCGATCCTACTACAAAGATGATGGTACCGACGAACATTGAAGAATTGTGTATTTACAGATGCCATGAAGATGTTCAGGTCAGAGCATCCGCATCATACACCCCAAATGGCTCTATCATTGGTGGCGGGCAGTGCGTTTCTAATGGTAAGCTTGCCTTGCATGGCTCGGGTATCAGGCTCTCTGTTCTAGATGACCAGACTGGCAAAGACGATGATACCACTGCTCGCGCAGAATGGGGATGCCATATTGACTTTCTGGACCTCAACACTCTCATCCTGCCATCGATCGATCGCAGTGCCTGCACGGAAGCTTTAACAGAGCTATGTCATATCTGTATGGTCCATACAAATCGTGTCCTTGCAGGCCTAAAAACTCCGATCAGTCATATGGAAAAGTACCGAAGTTGGGTAAACCAACAACTGCAGCTTTGTGATTTTGACCACTCTATACTTGACAACTCTATGATTGAAGAGCAAGTCAAGTGTATTGTCAACAATTTATCGCAAACTATAGCTGCTCCTCCTTCCCAAGCAATTCAAAAGATATTCAACAGTATTGAAGGTATCTTCACTGGTGAAATAGATGCGCTGGATTTACTTCTTTTGGATGGCACTATGGACAAGTTATATGCTTCCATTGATCAATGTGACGAGTCGCAGTTTTTTGAACATTTGGCACACAGCAAGCCCAATCTACGCGTGCTTGAGATCGGTGCCGGGCTAGGTGGGTCTACTGCTAATGCGCTGAGGTTCCTAACGCCCGGTGGCAGAACGCTTTATTCCCGTTACACCTTCACTGATCTCTCTCCTGGCTTTTTTGTTGCTGCCAAAGATCGCTTCAGTTCATATCCGAATATGGAATACGCCACCCTTGATATTAACAAAGACCCTGCGGAGCAGGGCTTTGATGGTACGTACGACTTGATCCTGGCGACCAATGTGATTCACGCCACTCCATCACTCAATGAAAGTTTGAAGAACGCCCGCAAATTGCTCGCACCTGGCGGACGGCTTTTGCTCCATGAGCTAGCACCATCACCGAAATCTAAATGGGTGAATTACATTTGGGGAACCCTAGCCGGCTGGTGGAACGGTGAAGCTGATAACCGAGTTGATGAGCCATATGTGGATGTTCATCGGTGGGCGAGAGAGCTGAAGGCTGCTGGATTTCGTACTCCAGATGCCGTCGTACTTGATTCACCAGAGCCATATCAGCTGGGTGCCGCCATTGTGGCCAGACCAACGCTTGACTTAAAAAATGTCCCTAAAAAATGCGTGACACTCTTGAGCCTTTCTGAGTCCAGTCGTGTACGATCCATGGCTCAGGATTTGCAAAGGAGGGGATTTACCGTTGATTTTCGCAGACTACAGGACATGCCTTTAACCGCTGGCCAAGACGTGATTGCTTTGCTTGACGATGAATCGCCATTTTTTGAGAACATTGATCATCAGCGATTCACGTCGTTCAAAGCTTTGGTGGAGAACATGGAAAAATGCGGTATTGGTATTCTCTGGGTGACTGGCCTCTTACAGATCGAATGTCGAGATCCAAGATTTGGCCAGATCAATGGAATCGCAAGATCCATTCGTTCCGAGAAATTGGTTAGCCTTGCCACTTGCGAGGTTGACAATGTTGATTCTGATTCTTCCCGTGAAAAAATTATTGATGTCTTCGAGATGTTTCAGCTCCGCTGTGAAGACCACTCTCTTAAACCCGAGTTCGAATACGCTATTGTCAACAATACAGTACAGGTTGCACGCATTCACCCTTTCAAGGTGCAGGAGGAGCTCTTGACCTCTGCTGCAAGCGATGCTACTGCTCTACGCACGACTAGGCCTGGCAGTCTGACCGCTTTGCACTGGGCTCGCCAGATGACCGAAGGGCTGGAGGGTGATGATGTGGAGATTGACATATATTCCACTGGCTTGAACTTCAGAGTATGACCCAAACTCACAAACGACAAAAAAAAAAAAAAGCTCATTCAAAGTTTCTAGGATGTTCTAAGTGCCATGGGCATTGTCGAGGCCTCGGAAATTGGATTCGGCTTGGAGGCTGCTGGTATTGTTCGGCGTACCGGCCCCCAAGTTAAGGACCTCAAGGCCGGAGACCGCGTGTTTTTAATGGGATCTGGTGCATTCAGCACGCAGATTGTTGTTTCGGAGAGTGTTTGTGAGAAGATCCCTGGTGGTTTGAGTTTCGAAGACGCGGCTACAATGCCTTGTGTGTTCGCTACGTCGATCTATTGCTTATTCAATATTGGGAATCTACAAAAAGGACAGGTATACTCCACACTCTATACTTTCTTCATTTCTCTGATGTTGAATAAATTTTAACAACTCTTCTAGTCCATTCTTATACATAGTGCCTGTGGTGGGGTTGGTCTCGCTTCCATCCAGCTCGCTCAGATGGTCGGTGCTGAAATCTTTGTTACTGTTGGGAATGAGCAGAAAGTGAAGTATCTGATGGAAAACTACGGTCTTCCTCGAAACAGGATCTTCAATTCTCGTAGTACCTCGTTTACTGAGGACGTTCTGCGGGAGACTAATGGTGGTGTCGACCTAGCACTTAACTCACTGTCTGGTGAGTTGCTACATGCTACGTGGAAGTGCATTGCAGAGTTTGGAAAAATGATCGAAATTGGGAAACGAGATCTGATGGGATCTGGAAAGCTTGACATGAGTCCTTTCATCGGGAACCGCAGTTACTGCTGCGTCGACTTAGATCAAATCTGCGTGAAGAGACCGATCATTATAAAGCAGTACGTTACTCCGGAGCTCGGCTACGTGAGAAACCCTTTACTAACCTCGATTACTTGAAGGTTACTCAGGAGCGTCATTCAGCTGCTTAGAGAGCGATATATACACCCGATCCGACCAATCAAGGCCTTCAAGGCTGATGCAATACTCGACGCATTTCGATACATGCAGCAAGGTATACACCTAGGCAAGATCGTGGTTTCGATTCGTGATCCTGCTGGCCAGGTAAATTTAGATGGGCAGGTTCAAAATCGAAGAGAGCCCATGCAGTTCACCAATTCCAGTTCATATCTCCTGGTCGGTGGCCTCGGAGGCCTAGGCCGAGCTCTCTCTGTCTGGATGGCAGAACATGGCGCTCGTCACTTCATATACCTTTCTCGCAGCGCGGGTGCGAATCAGGAGCACCTAGACTTTGCGAAGGAGCTGACTAGTATGGGATGCCGCGTCGACTTTGTCCAGGGTAGTGTATCCAAGCTTGACGATGTGACCAAAGCTATCACGCTTGCTCAAGCCCAGGGCCAACTTAAAGGTATTTTCCAGATGTCCATGGTGAACCGTGATCAAAACTTGACACGCATGACCCTAGAGGACTGGAACGAAGCCGTGGATCCTAAGGTCACTGGAACGTGGAACCTCCATAACGCAGCTCTCTCCGTCGGCGCAGAGCTTGATTTCTTCGTTCTTTTCAGTTCTCTCTCTGGTATGTTTGGGCAGCCTGGTCAAAGCAACTATGCTGGCGCGAATACCTTCTTGGATGCATTTTCTCAATATCGCCTGAGCTTGGGGTTGCCGGCCTGTGCAGTGGGTATAGGAGCGGTCGAAGAAGTGGGCTGCCTCGCTGTCCGCGAATCAGTCATGCAAAGATTCAAGGCCACTGGTATCTTGGGTGATACAATTTCCGTATGCGAACTTTTCCAGGGAATGGAATTGGCCATCAAGTCGACAACCAACAGGTCCTCAAACAACTTCTGCATTGGGCTTCGATCTAAGGTCCCCCTCAATGATCCCGGAAATCGTGCCCTCTGGAAGAAAGATATCCGGACTGCGGTTTTCCATAACAAGGACACCACCAGTAACAAATCAAGCACTTCCAGTGACGGTCTCAAATCATTCATTGCTGCGGCAAAGAGTAACCCGACTTTGTTGGTTCAACCTGATTCCGCTCATTTTCTAGCTGTCGAAATTGGAAAAAAAGTGTTTAGCTTCTTACTGAAGTCAGAAGATGACCTACATACGTGGTGCTCATTGTCTGACCTTGGTATGGATTCCCTTGTGGCGATAGAGGTGAGACAGTGGTGGAAGATGACATTTGAGTTCGATATCAGTGTGCTTGAGATGATGGGAATGGGCACGCTGGATGCCCTAGGGGAGCATGCTGCCAAAGGTATGCTCACAATGTTCCATGGTGGTGAGGAACAGACCAATTAGACACATACCTGAGGCCATAGACTTTGGGTGGCAAGCTGTTTGCTAGTTTAAGCTAGAATAAGACAGTACTGTTTCATTGACCAGATCCTTCTCATGTCCATATAATCAATGTAATAACTTCTAACAATTATGATAGTTTGCGCAGGACTTTCGAGGATTGCAAGTAGATTGATGAGTGTTGGCGGTTGTGTGGTCGTTATTAGGGACGTGGGTTCATCCTCTCGTGTGGCCAGGAAACGGAATTCAGAATGCAGGGTTTCAAGATTCTCTATTTATATTTTTCTGCATGCTAACGAGTCCGCAGGCGCAGCGAAACCTTCCAGCTGGATGCCTCCATGTTGTGTGTTCTCTCAAATGGTCAAGGCGCTCTGGCCTGTTGTGACACATTCGACCACTGCGGGACTGAGCTATTGATCAACGGGGATTTTCCCACAGCGAATGAGTAAAGCGGAAATAAAGACTGAATTAGTGAGGCCAAGAATCCTCGACAGCTGAACATGGTCATCACAAGTTGGAAGGCATGACGTACTGATGCCATAGCGTGCACTGCATCTGATTATGTTCCCTTGGCCAAAGGCTTGCAGAGCCTGTTGACGGTCGAAATCTCTCGCTAGTCATCATTTAAAGGATGCTGACCACCGTTATATATGCTTTGCCTTTATCTGTGTTTCGTAGATGACAAATGCAAATAACTTTATGTCTGATTTCTTCTATTACTCATCTTATTGACTTTACGACTTGCTTAATGTAAATTGGACAGTTATGGATTAAGAACTCGTAGGGTGTGAAGGGGCCTCCGTACTTCCATATGTACACGTAATCCACATCACATCTATTCGCAACTCTAGCACTGGCAGTGCTAATAGCCAGAAGTCTGACCAATAAAATTTTTCGGTCGATGATACTACAGCTGACATGGGTGATGTGCTCGCTTCTGTTTGCGATATCTGAAGAGTGCAACGAGTCATGTCTTACATCTTGAGATAATCACGAAAGCCTTAACGGCTAGCCCGGGCTATGGCTCATCGTACGCGCCGACAGAATCATCTGATGCAGAATATAGGAGAAAAGGGAGCTGCGCAGCGCCACGAAAGAGGAATATCATCGGCATGACCGAGGCTGATTATTTGCAGAGAGTTTGACGAGTCTCCAGATTCTTCAATGGTTGAATGTTGATGGCGCAGCAACCGCCAATAGCGAGAGGGCACCCCCGCTTCATGAGACTATCACTTTTGGAGATTTGAGGCGAAGGAGTTTAGAACCGACGCCATCGGGCCTTTCAGCTGCCCCACATCTGCAGGAACAAGCTTGAAGATGTCAAGTCGTTCACTCGAGCCGACATGTGGGGCGGCCCGTGCCGAATCACGTCTAAAGCGGAGATAATTGTCGACGAAATAGTCCTTGATTAGAAGAACACTATTTGACGGATTATCAATCCGGATCAAAACACCAACAGCAGAAAGGTATATATACAGCGTCATTTCCTGCCATGAATTTGTTCAGACAGCAACGACAATCACACAGTTCTTCCAACTTCATCAAACAGAATTATCGCAATGGCTCCTTCCAAGGACACCACAATGTCAGCCTCATCTTCTCAGATTAGAAAGCGAAAGGGTCGTGCTGACTCTCCCAGCAGCTCAAATGACACTGCCAGTGTTCCGGCACCAGTCAAGACTGTTCAGGCTACCAACGGTACCAATGGCACCAATGGTGCCAATGGGAACGGTGTCGCGGCTTTGAAGGCAAGCAATGCTTCGAAGGACTTCATCACCGGCCAGACCGTCTTGAATGGCAAGAATGTGTCCAGCAAGACACAGATTAGAATCCAGACCGAGATTCGCAGCTTCGAGTGCGTCAAGCATGTCAAACCGGCTCAATTCCCCGAGGTTCTTGGTGCCCTCCCATTTCCCCAGGAGCTGAGGAGCATGGTTGCCTGGACCGATGCCTTTGTCCAGCGACTTGGATGGATGGCCCTGCTTCAGGAACAGGTAAGACTCTTCTGTGCTTTCAGTGGCCCATCGCTCAAGCTAACTTTGGCCAATCACAGAATGCCGCCAAGGAAAAGCTCTCGACTAGCCGTGCTGAAAAGAAAAACGAGGAGCTCGCTCTCCGCATCCAGGAGCTCCAGACCAAGGTGCACGATCTCATTGATGATAATCACGACCTGAGGGGCAAAAATGCTCAACTTACGAGCCGCAACAGGTTCCTCGAGGGACACAATAAGCGGGATGATAAGCAGATCGAGGCCTTCAAGGCGAGCATCTCAGAGAAACAGACCGAGATCTGGAACCTGACAAAGGAGAATGAGAAGCTGAGATCCGGCGTGGAGAGTCTTGAGAAGCAGGTCAAGAAGCTCATTGAGGAGTACAAGGGAGAGAAGAGCGAGCTGATCGCCGCGTTCGAGATGTGGAAGAGCATCGATGATGAGGAAGACAAAAAGCGCGAAGCCCTCGTCACACAACTGCAGACTGCACTCGACGTCGAAAAAGCTGCCAAGACCAAGGCTGAGACTGATCTTCTAAGCGCAAAGACCAAACTTGCAGAACTCGAGGCGGACAATGCCCGCCTTAATAGCAAGCAATCGCAGCTTGATGAGCTTGTCAAGAACATTCGCGCGCAACTGCAAAAGGCTGAGACGGACCTTGGTGTCTCGCAAGGAGTGAAGGCAACATTGGAAGAGCAGCTGAATCAGCTCACGAAGAAGGAAAAGGACGCGCAGCTGGAAATTCAAAGTCTCCTTGGCAAGCTGAACGAGGCTAAGATCGATGTTGAGGCTGCTAAGGAGCAGGTCTTTGCCGCTAATGAGCATGCCAAGTCCCACTGGCATACTCTGCAGACCATTCGTGCTGACGGCGGCTGGTTGTCGACCGAGGAGAAAGACTCCTGTGATGGGATCTTCCTGGCCAAGCCTTTCATGTGCGAATTCCAGGCCGATCCTACAGCCAAGAAGCCCGTAGCCCTGGTTAGCAAGCCTATTTGCACCTTGGAGGTCGATCCAAAAGTCGAGAACGCTGCTGATATCGAGAACCCATTCAACTGAATGGTCACTATCCATCAGGGGGTTGAATACTTGCTGGAGATGTTCCTGGCGCCTTTGCTGGAGAGCGAGATGATCTCTTGGGTCCTTGTTCTATTATTAATGCATTTCTTCTAATATTGCTTCTATGTTGTTATTTATCATCTATGAATGGATTTGTTATTGTTTACTCAAAATAATTCTCACGTGCATCTTAGCAACACGTAAGTACCTACATCCAGGAAATATTCCAATAAGATGGAAATTGAGACCGGTTGGGATTAAATGGAGCACATTACAGTACCCGTAGTATAATGTATTTTAGATCAAAGCTATATGTAAGTATGTGCAAAAACACAAGTTACATTCCATACCAATACACGTTCTCGAAAGCTGAGATATAAGGCCATGGACGAAAAAAGCGTTTAAATAGCCCTCTTCATACCATTGGCACGGTAGCCTTGAGCAAGGTCATTGGTATTTGCAGCAGCCTGGGCACCACTAGTCAAGGATACGGTAGGAATGTAACCCTGGACATTGACCTGACCACCAGTCGTGGAAATAGCAGAGGCACTCTTGTTGACACCGATGGTAATGTAACCAATGAGGCCGTCGGCAAGGTAAACGCGCCACTTATACGCTAGCCCGCTTTGAGAGGTCTACAACGCCACCACCTCTGATCCTGCAACCTTTGAATTAGGGGAGCACCACAAACAACAACATGTCTACCGATGAGAGATACGTATGCGGTGGATTAATCTACTATAAAATTCCAGAGCTTGCAGTACATCGGTCCGCTTGGAGAAAAACCGGACTTAAGACCCGAGGTTTGCTTCAGGCAAGGGAGGGGACACCTGACACCTGAATGTCATGCCTGAAACGCCAGGTTAAAATTCTGATTCCATTGAGATCCATTCCCCTATTTTAAGGATCATACCAAGGGGTCTGAACGTAACGTGATATTTTGAGTAAATAAATTTCGTTCAACATAAACTAGTCATAAGTCACAAAGATCAGTGGGGCGGCTGATCGACCCGAAGAAAAGCGGAGAAGAGGCCCTTGCGTCGTCTCCTCCCACTTTTACAGTTGCCCAGAAGGCTACTTCTTCTTGCTCGAAATATCCACGAATACATGTCCCAAGGGCCCCACCTCGGGACTCCATCCCCCGCACTCGACTCTATACTTGTCACAATTGTCCAACACCTCGACCAAGTTGACATGATTTCCTCCACGATTCTCCCAATGAAGCTCACAAATCTTAGCATCGTCATGAAAAAGATCCAGGCGGCCTTCACTACCACGGCGGCCTCCCGCACTGATCTCACCGATGCCGTCCGATGGGATCACGATCTCGTCGATCTCCTCTTCGGTGAGGGACTTGCGACGGTTCCCGGGACTATAGAACTCGCCGCTGCTAGGTATTAGTACAAATGTACAAGTATTGGGATTCCTGGAGAGAGAAGGAGCGATACTCTTCAATGACAGTATGATGCACAGTGACCTGGCCATTCTCCAGGCGATCCCGGATGTGGAATTCGACCCATTGGGTATTGTACCGGGTATCCAGATCGGTAGACATTGTGTCGGTGTTAAGCGTGTGAATTGTGTGTAAGTGGTAAATCCTGAATATTGATGGCAATTGAATTTGGGGCCAAGTCTGGTTTAAGTATGGCCCGAGAATGCGGGGAAAGCCATCATAAGGTTGTGGTGTGATGACTCGTACATGTAATCTACCTTTCCACCTGGGGCGATGTTGTGGTCATTACGGATACGGTTGCGTGACATCATTGGCTGATCAGAGCCGGAACCATGGAACCACCCTGGATTCGCTTTCAAAGGTTTGCGGGGAACATCATTATCGCCTTGTACCCCATACAATTCGCCCACGCGACTGTTAAGTGCTTGGGTCTAACATGGATCCCCGCTTTTGTCTTTTTGTGGGAGGAACTCCCTGCAATAATCCGGCAGGGGTTTCTGTAAAGGTCAATGGTAGTAGAGATTTATTGGATTAGGAAGGCCCTAAAACACGAGGGATCAACAAAATGAGGGGGAAGAATGAGAGATCGTGTGAGGATGAGACACTCGGGAATGCAGCCTGGGAATTCAGGCACTAGTGCACACGATCAAAAGCCGGATCCACTATCTTCCATCCCAACAAGAGTCTTGTTCCCATGAAGAGAATCAAATCATCGATGATGTACATTAACACTGCCTTCTTAGTCTTTGAACCGACAAAAGAGCTCCTGGATTGTAGGGTTGACAAGACCAAAAGCACTGGAATTGCCTCGATCGGCGTTTCCTAAACCGCCGTGTCCGGTTCTCCACCATCATTCGACCGTGTGACCTGGACTCTGCAGCAGCATTCCCAGACCTCATTCGATCTGACTGGCTCGTTGAAATCAAGGCGCATAATGAGCCAATGCAGGCAGGTATTCGTGTCTTCCCGCCACAGTCCTCGAAATATTCGCTAATGGTTCTTCTAATTTGGCTTATAGGTTACTGGATGACCTAAATGGAGCTGAACTTGTCACTTGGGGCGATGGAAAGCAGTGAATGCTCAACCTTTTCCTTTCCCCTCCAGACGCAACTTTCCAGAAGAAACACACCTTGCATTGTCAGCAATACCATTAGGTAACACCTGCACGTAGGAGCCATTTATCAGACGAAATTCAAGTATTACTTGATAGAGTAATTGGTCTACATGTCCTTCTATTTCAATTCTAATTCAAATTTCACCAAAACTTTGCTCTCACACATTCCTCACATTTTCAATTGTCTAGTCGAAGAAGACGATCGAAGGAGATGAAGGCAGAGCCCATGAGAAGAGCGCAGAGATGTTTGAGAATTTCCAAGTATCCTATTAGTTGGGGTCTCAAATGTTCTGCTGCTCTTCCATGCTTGTCCAACCTTGGTGAAATCAGTATTCAGGTCAAATTCTTTGCTCAGGTGGAAGAGTTCTGCCCATGAAGGGTTGGAATTCCGGGAGCAGTGAGTGGTGTTAACCAATCACCTGACCTAGGGACCGTCACGTGTTGGCCAGGATAAATCGCCTACTGTCTTATTGATCCAGACACAAATACAGAGGAGAATCCAAGTTCCCTGAGGGTTAGTTTGAGCTTCAACTCATGTTAGCGGGTCTAATGCTCGGTTCAAAAAAGCCGTCGGTGCTTCTGTGACGGCAAACACCCAACAACCCATCATTCCATTTTATATCGAATTTGCAAAGCATGCACTATCTACTAACATCTTCCTTCAAGTTTATTCAAAAATTTGACTCAAAAAAACTGCTTTAACACAAAGTGTAGGTGTTCAAATTTAATTCCGAAACGCTAAAGTTGCAGTACTTCGATCTAAAACGCGATTATGTTACTAGTTGCAAGCTAGCCAAAAGTAGCTTTAAAAAGCATATCTTCGAGCTACTCACAATTTAACGCTAGCGAACTAGATAAGTGGGGAGAGCACACGTCTCTGCATCGTTATCTCTACATCATGTCTATACGGACCAACATGTAGCCACGGGGGTTGATTTAGCGTTCTTACTAGCAAATGAACACAACTGCATCATTATAGCTGACCAATCAACAAATAGACGTCATTATATTATACAAGTAAAGCAAAGCAGTGATAAAAAGACCAGCGCATGTTTCTATGTGTCATTTTGAAACAGCATCAAAAGTTCATGAAACCCAGTTGGCTGATGACAAACCTCGTAATACAATGAACCAACTAATAGTGAAGATCAAACTCCTGTTTAGCGCATCCATGCGTGTATATCTCAAGCCGTGCCCAGTTTCCGGCATATTGTCTCCGGGCTTTGGACACGCGGCTCCCGCTGTTTAACGGTGGTTGCTGCGGGTTTGCGGCCTCGGTTTCCCGATTCGGAATGCAAAGGCGAGTTTTCTCGATCTCCGAGACCCACAATCGGTCGGGATCGCCAAGGTCCTGGGGAGGTTATTCCTCAGACCAGCCCGAGGCTTTCATACCCGCCTCCTTTAATGGGTCATATAGGCTAATTCAAAATATTATTCGATGACGTGGGCGATAGCGTACGTTTCATGTCTCCATCATTCTAACGTGGCGCGGTCTGCAGAACTATGTTCTAACCTTCCGCAAGGAGAGTCAAAGATTATCTAAAGATGTTTTGATATCCTTTCTCTGGATTTTTCCTCCCATCCTTTCGTTAAGCTTCCTTTCAGCTATGCATTTTTCTTCCCTCCTGGCTGGGTTGGCCCTCAGCTCAGCTCTGGCTACTGCCGAGCCCATCCGTCATTCCACCTCCAAGTACCCTGTGATCAAGACCAACAAGGGTTCTGTCCAAGGTATCGCCTCTGAATTCCGTGACGAAATCACCGTCTACAAGGGTATCCCCTTTGCCGCCGCTACCGGCGGTGAAAACCGTTGGAAGGCTCCCAAGGCCCGCAAGGCCTGGTCGGGCGTTCACAAGGCCGACTCCTGGGGCCCTCAGTGCGCACAGGCGACTTCCTCCTCTGCTGGAATCTTCAACGCTGCCTCCAACATCACTAGCGAGGACTGCTTGTTCCTCAACATTTGGACCCCCACCTACAATGACACCAGCGATTTGACCTCGAAGAACCTGCCTGTCTACTTCTGGATCTACGGAGGTCGCTTTGAGGCCGGATCTGGCGATGTCGCTACCTACGATGGCTCAGGCCTTGCCAGCAAGGACATCATTGTTGTCACCATGAATTACCGTGTCGGTCCTTTTGGATTCTTCGCCCACCCCGAACTCTCTGCCGAGTCCGGCCACAACAGCTCTGGAAACTACGGTCTGCTGGACCAGCAGTTTGCTCTGCGCTGGGTGCAGGAAAACATTGCCCAGTTCGGTGGAAACCCCAACCAGGTCACCGTTGGTGGCCAATCTGCCGGATCTTCCAGCTCGCTCGATATGATGTTCTCCCCTCTCTCCAAGAACCTGATAAACGGTGTAATCTCCGAGTCTGGTGCTCGTGGCCCTCACGACCCCATTACCGGCAGTAACGCCACCAGCTACCGCACCAAGGCCGCTGCTGAGTCCGAGGGTGTGACATTTGTCAAGGAGATGAAAGCCTCCTCTATTGCTGAGATGCGGAAGCTGCCTATGGAGGATATCATTAGCTACGGTGGCTCCCTCAGTGATACTATCTTTGAGGGCACCCAGTTCGAGAACCTGACCAGCTCCTTCATGGAGCCTCCTCTCTGGCGCCCCAACATCGACGGATACGTTCTCACTCACACCTACGGCCAGGCCCTTGACCTGAACGCTCACGCTGACGTTCCTATTCTGACTGGTAACAACGCCGATGAGTCCGGTGCTTCCACTAGTCCCGGTTTCACAGTCGCCGAATACAAGAAGCTTTACTCTGAGATGTTCGGCGATTTCGCCGAGGAGTTCTTCACTCTCTATCCTGTCAACAACGAGACCGAGGCCAACGAGAACAGCAACGAGCTTTTCCGTGATCTGAGCCGTGTTGGTACTTGGCGCTGGGGTGTCGACTGGACCGCTGGTGGTGCCAAGAGCAATGTCTACACCTATTACTGGACACACACTCCTGCTGAGGATGCCACTTCTGGCGCTTACCACGGCAGTGAGTTGTGGTACGTGTTCAACAACATCCCTTACTCTGACTACTCGAACGTCACCTGGACCCCTCTTGACTACCGTATCGAGGAGAAGATGTCCAACTACTGGGCCAACTTCATCAAGACAGGAAACCCCAACGGTGATGGATTGACCCACTGGCCCACTACTACCGAGGACAAGAACGTCATGTGGCTTGGCAACTCCTGGGGTGCTGGTGTTCTGTCCAAGAGCGCGGCCCGCATTAACTTCATCAAGCGCTGGGAGGCCACCCTCAAGCAGTGGTAAGCACTGATTTGGGTGACTTTACCGCACTTTTTGTTCGGGACCCTGGATGCCCTTTTAAATCAAGCTCCTAAATGTCTTGCCTTTCAATTTAGCCGACTACTTCGTCCCCTTCCCGTATCTTTCCTTTTACCATTCTTTCATTCTCCTGCTTGTTGAGCAGCTGATAGAGTTTGTATATATAAATCTTCATATATATCTTGAACATTGGGAAACCAATTGTACAATACAACAATTTTGCTAAGTCGTCTATCTATCACGTAACATCTAAATCTATATACAAGTAGACGTACACACTATACAGCATTGCTAGCACAAGTCCAGCTGGAGTTTGAGGAGCTGTCGTGAATAGACTTGCCAGAGACATAAAGTCCCAATCCACACTATTACAGTCAGCGTGCCATTCACCCAGTAGATTGCAAAATGTCGAGAAACTTACAATAGCGCAAGCGATTCCTAGAATCAGGAAGTTGATGATGGTGAGGAAGATCTTTTTCGGTGACGACCACCACTGTCCCTTGTTCATGAGCAGCCAAAACATGGCTGGCAGGCCGTCTTTATAGAGTTAGTATTCGTTTGAACAATGAGATCAATATCGGATTATTAGACTTACAGCTGAACCAACTTCCAAAGAGAGCACTCTGTGAGACAACAAAGTTAGCAATGCACAAAAACGGAAAGTAGACAGGAGACATACAATCAAACTCAACAAATCG